TAGCTTCTGGAGGACTCTTTCTACCTCATTAGGCACAGAAAGCTAGCTTAGGAGTGCTGGCCTGACTCGAAAGGTTTGGAGATGATCTATTAATGTCAACAAACTCAATTTAACACACTTATGACGATAGGCAATAAGACATAGGAAGTCAGAGCCCCATCCTAACCATACTGCTTTCTGCTTGGGTGGTTTGGAGACTACAGTGTATTTCTCTGTGTTTGTAGCTGACTCATCCATTAAAAATGGGATAAGAATTCCTCTTTTACTATTTGAGTGCATAACCACACATATCTACAAGTGATCAGTAGTAAATAGTAAATTTTGAGGCCATATTTGATCTGGGACTTTTGTCACCATTTGGAGGTACAAAACACAGAACCTGTTTTCAAGTGGTCTGCTGTAGTAGAAGAGACAGAATGATGGGGAAATGGATAGAATTTAACTGTATCAGTAACCTGTGGACAAGGTCAAGGTGCTATTAGGGAAGGAGAGTATGCTCAATCTGAATAAAGGTGGGGTGAGACAACTACCTGAAGATGACATCAAAGCCATGGGTGGGTGCCCAATTTTGGTTAATGTGTAGCCACATCTTGGGTAGCTAATATTACATCAAGGATGCCAGCTGTTTGCTTTGGTGACTCCTTGCTCTTAGGTCTTGCTTTGAAAACAAAAGCTCTTCTGTGAAAAATCAATGAGCTTACCTCACAAGGTGCCCTGGGTTCTGAAATAATCTGGATATAGTCACCCTAAGTTAATAACCACACAATTAGGCTCAGAGTTCAGGAAATTGGAAGGGATGGTGAAGGCAGAGACTAAATACCTATGTATATGTGTACATGACAGGTAGGATGTGTGTGTGTGTGTGTGTGTGTGTGTGTGTGCATGTGAGTATTGTATGAATGTGTTCGTATGGATGTATGCGCCTGTACGTGAAGACCAGAGGTTGATGTTAAATGTTCTTGACATCTCTGATTTTTTTTCTACCTTAATTTTGAGATAGGTTCATTCACTGAAACTGGAATTGGTCTATTAAGCTAGCTTGGCTGGCCAATGAGCTTCAGAGGTCTGCCAGTCCTGGGTTTACAGACCTAGTGCCACCACTGCTCTTGGCTATTTATGTGGATGCTAGAGATGAGGATTTGAGTCCTATATAGCAAGTGCTTTATTGACTGCTCCATCTCCCCAGACCCTGAGTTAACATTTTTGAGAGCCTATAACATATCAGGCAACACTAAGTACCTCGTCTAATAAGGGTAACCCTATCACAGTTTTCCTGTCCACCCCTTTATTGCAGATGATGAACTAAGATTCCAATTATTTAAGGCATGTGAGCAGGGTTATATTAAGTAGGTGAGAGAATCAATATTAAAACTCAACATTTAATACTGACTCCAAAGCTCATGCTCTTTTTAATGCTCTGGGCACCCTCCCAAACACACACATACTTGCACATGCTTGCTTCTTTCTTTTCCAATCTCATGCCATTTATGAATTTGTTCATGGTTTTCCATACTAATGTTATCACCAACATGGCCTAACATTTCTTAAACATAAACATAAACATGAGAGGTACCCTTGAGCCATGAAAATCTTTCAACACACCTGATGACACTAAAAGCTCTTGTAATTGGTCTCCCTCCTAGCTTTCTTTGGAAGGTGTCTTTGTTACTCTTCTCACTGGGAGATAGAATCTGTTTTGTTTTGTTTTTTTCTTTAAATCTGAGCTGCTCTTGGGTTTGGCTTTGGCCAATACAATATGGTGGTAGAATCACAGAAAGTTAGTTCTGGGCTTTGGCCACTAGGAGCTATGTAAGCATCCATTTTCTTCTTAGGTCCCTGCCAGGCCTATATAAGCCAGCTGGTAGCATGTAAGAGGCATATGGAAACAAACTCTTGGCATCCAAGATGAAACTATCCTAGACCAGGCAGCTTCTCTCTGAGCAGTTTATCAACAACATAAACATGAATGAGTCAACTGAGCCAACCCCGGTCGGCAGATGCACTGAATCAACCCGCAGACTTGGGAAGAATAAGCAAATGTTTATTTTAAGAATCTAATTTTGTATCAGCAGCTAGCTGATACAACCAAAATGTGAATTCTTTTTTAATTAGGAGTCAACAGAGGCAAAACACGTATACTTTCCATTTTTAGTCTGTTCTCCAATTTGGATGATTTCCCCCTAGACTGGATGGACCATCTTCCCCTGGGATCTCTATCCACTGTTTTAAGAATTTTCTTTATTTCCTCAAGCTCACATTTTTCCCTTTCTTGGAAACACTTATTTTAGGTAGAGTGTACCCACTGGGAGTTGCCTAAGAGTGAGTGAATGGGCTTGGATACTGTGCATATCTGAAATGTCTCCATTCTGTTCTTACCCTTAATTTGTATCCCAGCTTAGTTGCTAGTCTAGCCTGGAAACAATTCCCTCGAAAATTTCTTTAAGTATAGTTAAATGCATTCAATTTAGCTCAGGCTAAACAAAACACCTTCATGAGGTTCATTTAGTTCAAGTGAAAAATTCCAATTTTGTATTCTTGAAGGCCTCCAATTACTTTTCCAATTCTAGGTGCCCTTGGTTTGGTGAGGGTATTATAGGTACACAGATATTTACTACTCTCCTAGGCTCAGTGTGGGCTGAAGATCAGATTATTTTGGAAATATCCAAGCCTCTGGAAAAGTCTTTGGGGGCACATCCCATCTGGGAAGCTTCCCATGGGCAGGAAGCTTTTATTCCACCATGTCTCTTGGCCTTCTTTCTTCCACAGTGATGAGTGAGAAGTCTGATTTTCTTCTGGTTATGTTGTGTTTGTTTGATTTGATTTTTGAGACAGGGTCTTTCTATGTAGCTGACCTATCAGACTTATCTTCCTCTATTTTTGACTCACAAGAGCTGGGATTCTGGGTGAACAGTATCTTATCCAGCTCTACAGTATCATGCCCAGGCCCTAGTTTGAGTCTTAATACTGATCCTTACTGCACAGCCCCTGTCTGTTTCCCTGAGGCACTATCATATTAGTGTCTTCAGACTTTTTCCAGGCTTGTAAAATTCCATAGAAAGGTGGAACTTCTTGAAGGAATCAGGACTTTGACAGTGTTCTGGAAGCCAAGAAGAAAGAGAAGACCAGGGAATTTGAACACGTCCATATGCACAACTTCAGAGTGTGTGTGTGTGTGTGTGTGTGTGTGTGTGAGAGAGAGAGAGAGAGAGAGAGAGAGAGAGAGAGAGAGAGAGGAGAGATTTATATTGCCAACTGTGTCTCCCTTGTTGCCCTTAACTATTTTACCCTCTCCAAATAATATATTTTTGCTTTTCTGTGGGGATTGTGAAAGGACAATAAACTAGACTGCATAAAGGAAGGGAGGGGGCTGGACTCCAACTGCTCATCCACCTTCCTCATCATTTGCAGGATAGTTACCAATGCCAATTTCTGGGCCTCTGTGGCAATCATTTCACTTTCCCCACAATTGATTTAGGGTTGAACACTTCCAAAATTTTCAACCAGTTATCAGTTAACCACCATTTCCTAGCTTCAAAGTATTGTTGCTCTCCTTTCTCCTCCCAAGCTTCTTTTGAGAATAACTCTTCATTTCTGTCATGTCCTTTTGTTGAAGAGAGGGTCTCATGTATCCTAGCTGGCCCAACATTCAATATGTGTCCAAGAATAGCCTTGAACTTCAGATCTTACTGACTCTAAATTCCAAAGGCCAGGGTTACAGACACACACCTGACGGGGAATGTACTGTATATGTTTATCTTATTGATTGTTAAATAAAATACTGTTTGGCCAATGAGACAGCAAGTTAGATGGAACTAGGAGTCAAAGAGGATTCTGGGAAATGTAGTAGAGAAGTGCTGATCCAGGCAGGAAGTGACATAGCAAGGAGACTCATATTTAAGCGAAGGAGAAACAGGAAGGGTCCCTTTTTTCCCGTTCGCCTCCTCCAGCGACAGGATATGAGCCACCAGCAAGGAGGGACGCCAATAAGGTGTCCGATAAGATAAGTCTTATAAAATATATAGATTTATGATAATTGAGACTGAGCTAACAGATGAGGAATCCTAGTTATTGGCCAAGCAGCTTTGAACCTAATACAAGTTTCTATGTATTCATTTGGGCCTAACTCTAGCGGGTGGCTGACATAAAGCTCACACATGGCGGTGGGGCTCAGGCAGCTTTTGGCAGAAAGATTTATCGTAACACACACCACTACACCAATATGTGTAGTGCTGGGAATGGAACTCAGGCCCTTGTGTATACCAAGCAAGTACTCTCTCAACTGATCTGCAGCCCCAGATGTGGTTAAGAAGCTGTCATGATAGTTGGAATTAAGGTATGTTTACTACTCTCATAAACCAAGAGGCCAAAGGCAGCCCTAGGCATTTTAGGAGGTCACACTTTACAGCATCCAACTTGCTTAGATGATTCTGAAGAATGTATCTCCTGGGGGCAGTCAAACTTTTCCTCAACATTAAATTCAAGTGATGGAAGTTTGTGTATTTGTTTGTTATTGTTGTTTCTTTCTTTAAGTGGTACATCACTGTAATCCCAACACTTGGGATGTAGGAGCAGAGGGATCAAGAATTTTAGGGCTGTGGAAATGACTCAGGGGTTAATATACTTATAGCACATCTGTGAAGACTGGAGATCAGATCCCTAGAACCCATGTAAAACATTGGTGGGCATAGTGGTTCACCTGAAACCCAGAGCAAGGTGGCTAGCAAGACTAGCCATACTGGAGAGCTTTGGGTTTAATTTAAAGACTCTGCCTCAATGAATAAGGTGGAAGAGTCAGCAGGGATGACCTTGATATCCACCTCAGGCTTCCACATACATGTCTACTCCAGCATGTTTTTCTATACACATGCAAACAAAACAAAAAAGGAACATGAGTCCAGATGACTCAGAAACCTATGAGTTCTTCCACATTACTCAGACATCCAGAGAGTCACTCTCTGCCCCTCCCCACTTCCCAGGCCCCTCACATCAGAGACCATGGGTTCCATTTCTTATGGCTTTTTAATGTTTTCCAATACACACTTTCAATTGGGCGATATATACATCACGCTTTCCTCATTATTATTGGTCAATCAATAAATATACAAAAACCAGAGAAAGGGAGGGTGGTCTCTGAAAAAAAATCAAAGGAACGATAACAAAAGTCATTGTACATACATAACAATTGGCTGCACTTGAAAAGTCAACACAGGAGATTTTCACAAAGTGGTCAATTCTTGTTCCTCAGAACCTTTTAATTTCCCGAAGAATGTGGCTCTTTCTTCTACTTTGTTTCAACAGTCTTGAATGCATGTTGGCTATAAAGCCAGTTCTTGGTGTTATGGATGACAATGTAAAGCTTTTTTCTTAAAGAAAGCCTTCAGGACACACGAGAAATTTACAATTGCTGCTAAAAATAACATCTGAAGTGCTCATGTTACTTTACAAAAATCACTAAATGCCACCCCCTTATTTTTATTAACAAACTCCCAGTTCAATGACTTATCCTCTATCACCTGGCAAGTCATTGGTAGGAGTAACACAAAGTCAGATTATGCTACCAGAATCATAATCATCATGGCAAGTATTATCCTACCCCAATCCAACTGGTAGGCATATCTGGAATGGGTAGAGAATCGTCTCTGGCCCTGAGACTTACATGCCTCTCCTAGTGCCTCTAAAGGGTATCTAAGTATCAAGGAGAGCATGGAAGAGTCTTTTGTACCCTTTATACACAATTCCAGAGTGGTTTGCTGCATACAGGTTAAAGAGCCCAGGTGATCCTGTTGTGGGCATGTCAGGCCAGGACAGCTGTAAGGACAAGGAACATTCTAACACCAGTTGAGAAGAATAAAGAGTCACCTAGTGTGTATTTCAACTGGAAAAGAAGAAAAAAACTAAGTGTCTAAATATGAAACTGACTAATAAACATTCACAGAGGAAGAAAAAGAAAATCTGTGTGAGCCATGGCATTGGAGAGAGGTGAACAGGGAAGGAGGGAAAGTAGGTAGGGGAAGCTGAGGCTAGAAATAGTTTTGGAAAGTCTGTGCATTTCCTTAAATAAAGCCTGAGTCCACTCTTGATATAAACTCAAACCCAATTTAGATGGTAAACTTTTCTCTTGCATTTTTTTATTTGAAAAAATATTAAACATATAAATTTAGTCAACAGTAACACCATGGGAGACTTAGAAAGGAAGTCTCATCTTACAGAAAGCCTTACTTTATAGATTTAATTTCTTCTACAAGTAACCAGGGAAGATCCAGGAGCAATGGGACATTCCGGCATATGGATAAATGCCACCAAACACTTACCCACTATGTGGAAAAAAAAAAATGAGGTTAGAGGGTAACACCATTCTCCCTTGGCTAAACCATAAGTCTGCTTATCCGTTGATAAGATTCCAGTAGTGGGCAGCCCTGAGGCTTTCTGGGGGATTCCCAGGCACCTCATTCTGAGGACCAACTGGTTTGTGAAAATGTCAACAAGCACATCCATGGAAATAGTGGGATGGGTTGTACACCGCACCCTCCTTATGCCAATCTACTGCTTGCTGTCTGCACTTTAATTTCTGTTGGCTGCTCTTTCATTGTAAGGTGTCACAAGTATGCACCATATTGTTTTGTGAAGTCACTACTAGGATCAGTTTCTACGAAATAGGACTCTAAAAACTGAAGGACATAGAAACTTAATGTGCCCTTTAAGGGAGAGAAAAGGGTGGCCCAAGCACAAAGGTGATTAAAGCTTTCCTACACACAATTCAGATTCCAGAATAGGAGAGAAACCCTTTTGATAGCCCTAGATACAAAACAGTGTTTCTTTGTTTGATCTTTTAGGAAATTCAGCCTGGTGAACCTGAGTTGGGCATAGATGCTCTGGCACAGGTTTAGGAGGACCATTCTAAAGTCATCCTGATATGCTATGAAGACTCAAACCTTGCTGGTTTAGAAACTGAAGGATCACAGCACAACAGGTCAATATGGAAGATGGACAGGTGTTTATTATGAATCAACTTATACCCTGTTATGCTTCTGACAAAAATAAACTAAAAAAAAAAAGTCATTCTGAACAAAGGACCTCCAGGGTTTGATTTTTCAAAAACAAAGATAAATAGCTTACTACAGATAAATAGCTTCACCCTTTGGGATTCTTTCAGAAGCATCTGAAAATTTTCCAGCAGAGAGGGGAGTCTATAAAAAAAAAAGGTATGTAACAAGTACACCTGATCTCCCACCCCACTGGAAAGCAATGCCCAAGATTGGGCTGCTGGAGAGGCAAAATTTCCTCCCAGAGACCAATCCCTCTAAGCCCTGGGGTAAGTCCCTGGCTGGTGGCTGTTACCTGGGACTTAGGTTAGGGAAAAGGTTCAATAGGGACCAGGAATTTGCATTTGATAGAAGCCATCCATAGCATCCCTTGGGAATGCAAGACCTCTAGGAAGGAGCTGGAAGAGTCAAATTCTTAATGGAGTATTCTTTGGGCCCTCATTTCAGAAAGCAATGCTGTTTTCATAAATTGGAACAGACTTTTAACAAAATGCAAAAGGAATAGAAAATTTTGTGCAGAAACTACCCCCAATAAAAATAATCAGTAGCACATTGCATCTGTTAAGGGTCCCAGCTCCCAGTATTGACATGTTTGCGATTTTGGTGTCTTTCCAAGTTACTGGTATAGGCACTACACCCCAATCTTCATGTCTACGTTCTGCAGATTCCGGGTTTCATCCGCTGTCATAAACTGGTCTGGAGTCTCTGAGGGTTCCTTGTTCACCAAATGCACCATTTCCTGAGACTTGCTGGCCTCCCCGTTGAGCTCACTTGGCTTCCTGTCCTCCACCTTTCCATTGCCACTGTTGATCACCAGCTTTTTCTTCTGCCCACACCTGATGAGTTTTAAAAACATCATATGAGAAAAGGTACACAATCAATCAATCAATCAATCAATCAATCAATCAATCAATCAATCCATCAACCAACTATCATCATCATGACTGAAACCACAGGGGATATCAACATGATCATCAGTACAAGTTAGCATGGTCTTCCCATGTGCTAAGCACTGGGCATGGTGCCCTTTCTACTTGGTCCTCCTAACTCATAACACCAGCACTTATTTGTTTGTTTGTTTGTGACAGGGTAGCTCTGCCTGTCCTGAAACTCACTCTGTAGACCAGGCTGGTCTCCACCTCAGAGATCTGCCTGCTTCTGCATCCCAAGTGCTGGAATTAAAGGTATGCACCACCACTGCCTACTGACACCAGCACTTCTTAAAGTGAGGTCCCTAGTCCAGCAGCAAAAGCACCTGCGGACTTCTCAGACATGGAAATTATCCACTCTACTGCTTACTGAAGAAGAAATCAGAAGGCGGTGGGGCCCAGGATCTGAGGTTTAACAGACTATAATTGCAGCTACTCTGGAGGCTGAGACAGGAAGATCACAAGTTCAAGGCCTTCTTGGACTACAAAATGAGTTCAAGACCAATCTGGATAGTGAATGAAACCCAGTCTTCAAATAAAAAGGCAAAAGAAGTCTGATATGTATAGCTTAGTGGTAGAGTACTTGCCTAGCATGCATGATACTCTAGGTTCAGTCTGTGGTACTTGGAACAAACAATAAACCACCACACTGTGGTGACTTCTGCTGCAGTCAACTTTGAGAATCAGGTACCCAAAGCTATTATTACCCCCAGCCCTTTACAGCTGAAGAAATTGTTAGGGATCTGAAAATCCAAGTCTTTCTAAGTTAGTTAACAAGCAATGAAAGAGTCAGGATGCAAACCCTGATCCTTCTGACTCTGGAGTCCTGGTTCTCCATCCCCCATACCATGCAGTGCAAATGTTTGCCTGTGAAGTATTCAAGTTCCACAGCCTCAGATAAACAGTGACGACTGTGATCATAAATCATTCTGATCTGTGTATCAAAGAAAGTTCCGCTACTTCCTCCTTCAGCCCTTGTCAGTATTATTACAACATGGACAGAATATAAGAAACCAACACTGATTCAGAAGGACAAGGCCATACTGATTTTTGTTTCTTTAAGGTTGGTTAACTTTCACATATGCTGCTATAGGATGCTTAAAACCAATGTAAGAAAGACCATTTGTTGTCACTTTGAGATTTCTTAGTAATGTTACTCAAGATTCTCAGACAGGAGAAGGGTTTCTGTGGAAAGCATGACTCTGACCTTGCCCTTGTGATTCTCATAGCCCTGCCTGGTCCCACACAATCTGACTCAGAGCTTCCTCCTTGTTGTAACCTGCTCACTGCTGTGCATATAGCAGTTATATTAGGCTAATGGATGCAAAGTCTTAGAGCTTCACAACTATGACGAGGGGAAATAGATGAGCACTTATTAAATGCATGCTCAATTCCAGACACAGTACAAGTAGTTTGTTATAACCCTTATTAAAGCAGCTTTCACTCCCACTCTTGCAGCAGTGGGAACTGAGGACCAGAGCACTTTAAGGGCTGGTTTGAGATTGCAGAAGAAGTAAGAACGACAGAGTCCATATTCAGATGTTGAGCTTCGGACTGAAAAGGCTGCATTCACCCTGGTCCTGTCAGTGCTGAAGATTTGAAAACAATGAAGTTGGAACAGTTCTCTTTGCTGCTGGATATTTCCAGGTCTAGAGTCAAAGCGTCTATTATTTGTGATCATGGGCTCTTCCCTGCAAGACTGCCAAGGTCATAAACTTTAATCTCCTGTTTGGGAAAGTCAAAACCATACTGTCTCAACAGGAAGCAGATTCTGTATCTTCCAGCACAGGTATGGGGAAGGGTGGAAGGAAAGATGTTCCGACTGTAAAATAAATGGATGAGGGGTGGGGATGTAGGTGGGGTCCATAGAGACAGCAGGATGCATGATGAAGGACTTTAGAAGGCTTGGTGTTGAGATCTTAAAGCTGTGTGACCTGAAGCATCTCACTTGACTTCTCTGAGCCTCAGTTGATAATATGTACTTGTGAAATCAGGCTGTTGGACTGTCAGCCTCACAGGATTGTGGCAAGTACTTCACACAGAGGGAACTCCATAGTCTGCCTACTACTGCTATTTACTGTTTTATGAACAATGTGGGTTGAATGAAATAAGGCCTGGGATAATCAGAGGAGAACCTGGAATATAGTAAGCATTCAGAAGTGCTGGCTGCAGTCGTTAATGGGATGAAAGCCACGTGATGTGAACTCTAGTGGTTTCTTCAGCTGCTTCCACTGTAACCACCTAACAGGGATGACAACATCCTAGAGAGACCTTCGTGCCCCTCCTTTGGGCCATCAGACAGTTGAAACAAGGGACCCTAAGAAATGGGAATTTCTTCCAAAAAGAATCTCATACTTGGGGGAAGAAAAAGGCTGAATCCTGGGGCCAGCCAGAGGGGAACTTGTCTTTGGGATAGAGAGCTCACATAGTTCCCACAAATTGTAACAACTTCCGTGCAGGACAATCTGGAGCTCTGACAATGCTGGGTCAATGATGGGTGGCATCATGCCTTCACTATAATCGCTTACATGTTCATACCTCTTGCCTTCTATTTAAACCTTAAACTCATGTTTGGACTCTGAAGATGGACTGGGGGAAGAGTTGTCATGGGATAGCTTTATTTGTTCCTCTTCCCAATGTGGCCACAACTGACTACCTCTCCTTTCTCTGCTTTTCACAGTGAATTGTGAAACTGTAACTAGCCTATTGGGAATGGGTGGGCAAGTCAGGGGCTAGGGTTCGGGCTCTGACCCTGACAACCCCAGCCCACCATTGGCCTTCCTCTAAGCACTGGTAGGATAACTCAAAGGCTGGAGGAGAACATTGCTGTCTTATTTCAAATTCTCAGGTTGCATAGCCTGCGTTCTTAGAGGACAATTGCCTGACTTAACTAAGTCTCACTTGCTTATTGTTTATCAACCAGAGAGTTGAAGGGTAGAATAAGAAACAAAGGAAAATGCACTCTAAGTATTGAAATATGCCTGTGCATTCGGACAGGACCAGATTGTTACTCCAAATCAGCAGTTCTCAGTCTTCCTAATGCTGCGACCTTTTAATACAGTTCCTCATGTTGTGGTGACTCCCCAACCATAGACTTATTTTTGTTGCTACTTCATAACTGTAATTTTGCTACTGCCGAAGTACAGAGGTCCAGAGCCAGTGCTCATGACTGCTGAGCCACCTCTCTGAGCCCCTCCCCACCAGAACCATTAAGAAGCTGTGATTCTCATGGCCCCTGTGTGTTTGTATGTGTGGTTGATGCACTGAGCACCAAGGTGTCCTCAATAGTGACTGGATGGAATTAGTAGTGTGTGTGTGTGTGTGTGTGTGTGTGTGTGTGTGTGTGTGCATACATAGGTTTGTGGGCTCCTGGGTGCACATGAGTGTGGAGACCAAAGGTCAATGTGTCTTCCTGAGTCACTCTCCCATTTATTTATTTATTTATTTATTTATTTATTTATTTATTTTGAGGCAGGATCTCTCACTGAATCTGGAGCTCATCAATTTGGCTAGGCTGACTGTCCAGTAAGCTCCAGGGAGAGACTTTTGGATCTGCCTCCCCAGTGCTGGGATTGTTAGTTCACACTACCATGTCTAGCTTTTTATGTAGGTTCTGGGGACATGAAACTCAGGGCCTCATTTGTGCTCAGCAATCCACTACTAACTGAACCACATTTCCAGCTCTTAGTAGGTATGAGGCCCTGGCATATTTAAGCCTCAAAACTTTTAAAGAAGAAACACTGTCTTCATTTTCTCTCATTCCTCATCAGGGCTAACAGCCATAGAAGCCTGCAAAAGATGTTATTGGATAAATGAATCCCCTCTGGAGGCCTCATTTTCCACCAAAATTTTTTGGATGAAAATAGGGTTCCCTATCTTTCTTAAATGCAGTGTTCAAAGCAGAAAGGCTCTTGCCTCCTAACAGGATTAGAGATGGGCTATTAGCTTTAGGAAGACAACACACATTAAGGGGCCTGTGTGGCCGTTAACCACCCTTCAGCAGCGTGGCAAATCTGTTTTCAATTATCAAATCAGGACACAGTAATTTATGGTGTCCATGAAGCTGCTTTTCTGGTGAGAGGCTAGTTCAGCCAGCTTCTGCCTGTCTCTGTTTTTCTGTTGCTAGGGTGATGGCTGGCCTGGGGACAAGAAGAGGAGAGGCCATGAGGCCCTTTCTCTGCCACTGAGGAGACAGAGAACCATGTGGGATGAGATGCCACAATGTGACAATGTGCAGACTCCAACTGCTCTCAGGGACAGTTGAGATGTTTGGGGAGGGCCCCACACATCAACAGCATTGGGGACATCTCTATGGTGACATCTGCAAAACTTATGGACTGTATATGTGATACCTCCTAGGGTCTGGAATCAAAGGCTGATTCCAAACAAAAGGAAATTCATATTTAATTGAGCAAAAATAATCCAAGAGGAAGAATAAAAACTCTTTGAAGGGCATCCCCAACTTACACATCTAAGTTGAACTAAAAATAAGCCTGTTTCTATTCAGTCATAGGAGCCCAAAGGAGATCTCTTAGATTTCCCCTCAGTTTTGGTATGTGGTCAGTGCTCATGACTAATGTTTTCATTATGCTCTCAAAGTATAGGTAGCAATGCTGTGACTTGGTTGAACATTTTCATTAACCCTAAATAAAATAAAACAGTATTACTCTGAAGATGATAAGAAAGCCTACAGAGACTATGCTGGGCGCTGGAAAGAGTTGCTTATTGTTTCTGAACAACAATAAAGGGAGCCATTATGGGTTTAAAGAGAAATCTGGCACTAGGGAAATGACCAGAGAGCTACAAGGATGACACAAGCTAACAATCTAAGCAATAGTGGAAAGGCTACCATAAATGTTCTCCCCCGATAATGAGATTGATGACTACCTTATATGCCATCCTAGAGCCTTCATCCAATAGCTGATGGAAGCAGAAGCAGACACCCACAGCTAAACACTGAACTGAACTCCTGGAATCCAGTTGCAGAGAGGAAGGAAGTATGAGCAAAGGGGTCAGGACCAGGCTGGTGAATCCCACAGAAACAGCTGACCTGAACAAGGGGGAGCTCATGGACCCCAAACTAATAGCTGGGAAACTATCACAAGACTGATCAAGGTCCCCTGAATATGGGTGTCAGGGAGGAGGCCTTGGCAATCTATGGGGCCTCTGGTAGTAGATCAGTATTTATCCCTAGCATACAAATGGACTTCTGGAGCCCATTCCACATAGAGGAATACTCCCTCAGCCTAGACACATGGGGGAGGGCCTAGGTCTTGCTTCAAAGGATGACAGACTCTGAAGATCCCCCATGGAAGGCCACACCCTCCCTGGGAGCAGAAAGGAGATGGGATAGGGAGTTAGTGGGGGGCAGAGAAGAGAGAGGGAACTGGGATTGACATATAAAACAATCTTGTTTCTAACTTAAATAAAAAATAGAAGAAAAAACCAACAACAATGAAGTGTATAATTCTTCCCAGACATCTCAGAATCTGAGGCATTGGCGGGGGTGGGGGGCCTGTAGGGTGATATAGAGACACAGCAAAGTCAACCCAGTTTAGACGGAAGACTCTAACCTTCCATGAGGCAACCACAATGGCTGTTTACAAAAAGCTTAATGTCTGTAGCAGACACTTTGGGAAAAAAAATGAATCTTTAAAGTGTCTGTGAAGATTGCAGATTTAGATGTTTTTTGGAGTACCCTGTTTATTTAATATATATATATATATATATATATATATATATATATTGAATACTTTTGAAATACTTTTGAAATATTATAATAACTTTTGAAATACCGAGCCTTTGTTAAGGTGGAGGGGAGGGGATTCATGGATGTGAGCAGCCTGTTTGCCCGTTCTGTGGTGCTGAACTTATTTTCTTGCCTAGGAAAGTTAATCATTGTTTCATGGACCCCACTGTGATAAAGATTTTCCTGGGTCAATGCCCTGAATCCCTGAAAGTTTCAATTAAAACTTTTGGAAAACACAAAATAACATCTTTACAGAGAACCAAACAACAAAACAAACCCAGGGCCCATGCCAACTTTGGGCAGGGTCTAGAAGATTCCATAAGCTTCCAATGGTCAAAAGAAGATGACCAATTCTTGATTTACTATACAACATTTTGTGACTCATGAAAGAACTTAGTAAATGCTTGTTTAACAAACCAATGGCTGAATATACACATTATATGACTTCCCAGTGATATATTTCATAACTTCTATCAGATAGTCACCATAAGAGTTTGACCATGAAAAATTAAGAACAGTAAGATTCAACCACTGTTTAAAAGGAGGGGTTCTGATGTTTTATTTCTCTGAAGAATGGGACTGAGAAAGGCTTGTTAAACTAAGACATGCATTGGATCCCTGGGATCTTGTTAAAGAACAAGCTCTGATACAGGAGGTCTGGTGTCAGGCTGAAAACCATGCCCCAGGGTACCAGGGCTTCAGGCTATAGTCAGAGCATCATGGATAACCCTCAAAGTGGAAAGCTGAAAGGGTTCTCTCTCTTACCTTCTCCTACTGTTGACAGCAATGCAAACAGCAAGAATCAGAGCCAGCGCCAGGAGAGATGCCAGGATGATGAGCCAATCTGGTGAGAATGAACCAAAGGACATACATGAGCTTCACAAATACTTTATGGAATAAAAATGCAATTTAAAATGGATATGCTCCAAATAAAAACCCTAGTCCACTCTGCAGAGAGGTCTGACCAATAGGTACAGCTAGAATATTCTACGAAAAACTTGGCTGCAATTGTTCCATCCAACAGGCTTCTCGATTAATCTTTTACGAACAGTTAGTCAAATCCTGCTGGAAGAAAGTTCTTTCCAAAGGCATATCAAACAAGATGCTGAAGCCTGTATGTGTTATTGGTGAAATGTTAAATAGATTAAAGGAAATTTACATTTTTCTTAACAGAAACATTCCATGCCTATGTAAGAGCATCTGCCTTATATTTCATTCAAAGCAAAGATGGGTTTCATAACCCAGTGGGCCAAGGACATTCTTATGGTGAGTGTTAAGGTAGATTTCTGCCAGTCATTTCAATTATTCGGCTGCTCTTGGCAACAGACCCCAAAACACTCATGCTTTTTTATGTAGAATTTACACTTTCAGAAAATTATAGGATCTCAAAGTGTGTTGTAAAGATGTTCATCATTATGCTATTTCTAACCACGAAAGTTGAAACTGACCTAATGTCCAATGGTGAGGGATTAAATAAATTAATCAGGATACATCCACTTTTGTTAAGTGCTATAATTCAAGGGAAAGCTTTTAATGACATGGAGAGTGGAACTGACAACAGAGAATGTTAGCTAAGCTGCACATACAGCAGTTTTGAAATAAATTACTTTGAAAAAATATTAGGAAGAACATCTTTAAGACTTAAGTACTTTTGGGTACTCAGATAGACAGTAAGTGATCTGCATTTCTATCCATTTTCTAAGCTGTATTTTCTAAAGTTTATTTGATAATTATGCAGCACTTGTGGATTAATGCAATGTTATGCACATGTTTTAAACTCCGGCTTCAATAAGATTGACAAGTTGAATCAATTCAGTTGCAGATGTGTGGAGTAAACGAAGGCTTGACAAAGAGGAAAGACAGAAAGTTGTCAGTCATTGTCCACTAGTTGGAAGTCTTGCTTTCCTCCTGTCAAATGAGGCATCCTCTTTGGCTCATCTCAAGAAAGCAGGGTCACTGTTGGGATGATGCCATTTCTGTTCTGTTCTGTTCTCTTCCCCCATCTGCCTGACCTCCAACACTGAGGGTTCCACGTTCCTTTCCCCTTCACTAGGATGAATCCCTCTGCTTGAATTCAGCCTATCCATCCCCTGTCTGCTCCTCCCTGGAAGTTTTCTGCCTTCTCGGGTGGTCATCAAGCTGAAGCAAAGGAGCAAGACCCACAGGGAAGCTGTTTGGGCCCCCCCAAAGAAAGCATTGAAAGGGTAATGTGCAGCATGCAGAGAAACTTCCTTTGTGAAATCCCCCCTTTGCACATGCTCAATTTCAACACCAAGCTACAAGGAGAAATTGTATGAAATGCTAAATCTTGCAGCATGGGACAGCCAGAAGTCAAAGCTCCCTCCCTGTACATGCGATTCTTTATAAAACGTTTCTTCTGGCTGAATGAACAGACTGTTCCTCAAAGAAAAGTAGTTTGGGGAGAAGAAGAATGTTTTCACTCCACCCAGCACAGATGGTCTCATATCTCCTCCCTGCCCTTCCCACCAATGCAAAGAGAATTACACATTTCATCTCCAGCCCTAGAAACATAGGGAGAACCGGGTTGAGATAGGAAGGACCTGGGTGAGCCATGGGGGGGTCACCTGGGGGATCGTTCATGTGAGTAACTGGCATACCAGTTCTTTGAGGAAGGCCTCATGTAAACTCTTCCAGGACATGAGGGGCCTAGAAGGGAAAAAAGAGAGGTCCCCTCCTTTTCTATGAAGAGGCTATCATATTTTTGTTTATCCTTAAGCTTGCAAAGAGGTGCCTGATGTGCATTTAATGAGGCCTCTTCTAGGATATTCTGAGAATCTTAATGTAATTAGCTTCCATTTGCTACATGGTGTGAAACTCACCTGGAATCTGAGGTTTCCTCCCTGGAGAAGAAGTTGTGTTCACCCCACCATCTTGACTCCCACTTGAGTGTCCTAAGGGGAGAAGCAACAAGCTCTTTCAGCCCAAATTTGGAATGTATAGCCAGGAGTTCCTTCCAGAGTGTTGTCCTGGGCTAGCCTCCAACCACTGCCTCACTAGACGTTATAAACAGATTCAAGAAGCAGACATCTACAAAGTGTTAGACAAAAGATACATTCTCTCTCCTCAACTCCCAGGAAAGTTCAGTGTGACTAAGCTAAGGCTTACAAATATTACTTTTGCTGTAAGGAATAGTGATGGACACTGTTTGAACTTGAGCTCCAGTGCTGGTCCACCCAGGGTGTAGAACCTAACTTACTAGCTACTTGTGCTGAACCAAGTTATCATCTCCAAGTCTCTGTTTTCTCACTTATAAAATGAGGATCATAGCAGAAACACCTTCATTGTTGTCTTACAGAGGTCAAAGTATATGATAGTAGTAGCTGTGTGTAGTTATAACGTTCTGTGTTAAGACCTTGCCTATAAGCAGGGCCCTATCAGTAGGGAGCTGGCTACCAATAGGATATCTCAAGTTTAGTTCCAAACCTCCATAAATAACATCTTCATTTTGATAATATCTCTAATGTATTCATGTGCTTCAGAAAGTCCAAAGTGAATCTAAAAATCACGTGCTTTGTGCTGCTTAGTTTTTTGTCAACTTGATACTAGCAGGCCTGGGTCACCTGTGAAGAAGGAACTTCAGTTGAGAAAATGCTTCTACCGAATTAACCTGTAGGCAAATCTATGGGGGGGGGTTCTTGAAGAATGATTGTTATGGGAGGGACCAGCTCACCAGGGCAGTGCCACTCTAGACAAGTGGTCCTGGGTGGAATTCAAGTGGAGCAATCCATGGAGAGCAAGTCATAAATAGCATTCCTCCACGGCTTCTGCTTCAGTTTCTGCCTCCAGGTTCCTTCCCTGACTTTCTTAAGTGGACCATGACTCAGAATATGAAAGCCAAATAAACCTTCCTCCCCAAGGAAAGATTTGGTTATGGTCTTTATCACAGCAATAGAAAGCAAACCAGGACATACATAGGCACTGATATGAACACTATTTTTTTTTTGCAGGAAGGGGGAGCAATGGCCTTTTCTGTCTATAAATAAAAGGTTATTAGAGTCTATGCTAATACAGTGAAACACAATAGAAAAATAAATATTTTATACTGTTAAAATAAAAACAAGGAAACGAACAAAAAGCCCAACTTGGAAGGGAGCATTGTGAGACAGACCATCTATGAGTCAGAATCCAGATGCCTTTTCAAACCAAGGATGACATTACATTTCAAAGGAAATTTCTTGGTTTTCTGTTTTCTTTTTTCCTTTACTGTTTTTCACTAAATAGCAATCTGTTCTGGAATCTTGAAGGCCACCAAGGGGAGAAAAACCTAGGAAAGACTTTTTGGCTAGCCCATTGGCCAGGATGGCTGGGCTTAAAAGAGTGTTTTCTGAGAGAGCCAAACATTAGACTCTGTAGAGTGGATGCTGAAATCTAACTACATAGGATGACTTCAGTTTGGACTGTTTTGTGCTGTGCTAAAGCTCCCACAAAATGGAGCAAAGTAACTTCTGTGCTGTTTCCACAGCCCTGTACTGTGGTCTCTGCTTCACAGATCTCAAAGGAGTCCATGGCAATTTTTCTACCCACCTGCCAGTGTCCTGGGCAATTGGCAAGTTTATGCATGCACAAGTCATGGCATAGCAACTATCCAAACTGGAGAGCTTTGGCCTTGAAAACCACTGTAAAGGTATAGTCACTCCCACTGGTCTCTTTTGTCTGACGCACGGCAGCTTTTGATATTTGAAAGGGAGGCCACTAATAGATCATAATCTATTTTCCTTTTCCAAAGAAGTGCTCCCAGCAAGGAAAGAACTAGGTGTGTGCACAAGATGAAACCTCCTGGTTAAACAATAGACACCTGCATAGGAGCCAAAGGAAAAAGACTAGTTCCCACCCACCTGATTCTCACTTCAAGCAAAAGACCAAGAGGCCAGAAACAGCAGGCTTCCCTGTGCCCAAGAGCTCCATAAATCCAATCAGGGCAGAAAAGGCCTGGAGAACAAGTTTTGCAAAGCAGGACACTGGGCACACCAGTTTGGAGATAGGGCCCTACCACAGACATGGGCACAGAGATCATTCAGTTGGCTTCAGCAGTGAGAAAGGCAGTGGAGAGTGTAGCATACAAACCAGCTGAAGTGGAGGGGCTTAGATCAACCCAGACCCTGATCCAGTTTGCATCTGGATAGGACAAGATTAGGATCTTCCCACAAGCTTCTGTGTGCAGTCTCTGCAACTGGTCCACACATCACACTCACAATAGTGGTGGTCTCTTGGTTTTGGAAGCTATGCCTTCAAACTTAACTGCTTACATCCTCAATACCTTGTGTTCCACATAGAACCTAGATTACTGAAGTAGGTATCATGGTCTTTCTTCTTACTGACAAGGAAATAAGAGCTGGGGAAGACCAAGTGTGCTAAGGACTCCAGTGAGCTCGAAACATCTGTCTCTACTTCAGGGTAATTTCTAATGAGCCTTATACCTCTAAGTTCCTACATTTAAGGGATGTTATCAATGCCTCCATGTAAATATCCATCCTCACATTTTCTTGAACCCTGGAGGCAGTCCTTGTCCCACATACAAGTTCACACCAGAGGATGCTAGTTTTTATGGATTTCCTGGTCCCTATGGACCACATAGATTTGTGATGATCAGAAGCTCATGGTAGGAAGTACTGAGAGAAACTCTCTATAACCCCAGCATTAGGCATTAAAAGTAAGCTTGCCTCATGTCAGATTTTGCTGCCTGGAGTAATGTTTTCAGGAGTTGATTTGAGTCATGGCCAACAGCAATCTATTTAATAATGCATGTCTGGCCATAATTATGGTCATTATGGAATTTTCTTCCAGACCAGACTTAGGAGAGGCAATCTGAGACCCCAGGCCTAAAACCTGGCTCCACTACTCTCTGGTCATATCAACTTGGCAAGTTGCTTACCTTCTCTCACCATTCCTTATTCTCCTCATCTGTAATAAGGAGATGATAATAGTGTTTTCATATATTATAGGGTTGGCAAGGTAATTAGATGAGTTAATAGAAAATTAATTATGAACTCCCTGGCATTGGGCTTACTTACTCGACTGAAATATCAGTTTCATGTAGTTCAATGTACAAATAAAATGTTTTGCTTAATCTTTCTGGCATATAGTAAATTCTGAAGTGCTGGCTACTTCATCAGGTGCCAGAATTATGCTAAACACTTTCAGGTATTCATTGTCATTTGGTCTTGAAAGGGCACCCTGTGACAATATCTCAAGATTATCAGCTAAGACATTGAATCTCAGGCCCTGTGATCATCTTACTCAATTTATAGGTGGAGGAAGGAGAATCAAACACAAGCTATGTTACGTCAAAAGTGTTCTCTTAGTGACTCTGGAATGGGACAATGTTAGATGGGGGCTCTCCTAGTCAGGGTTACCATTGATGAAACACCATAACCCCAACCAAGTTGGGCATGAAAGGGTTTACTCAGCTTACATATCACAGTCCAGGAACTCAAACCTGGCCGGAGGCAGGAGCTAATGCAGTGGCCATGGAGCAAAGTGCTGCTTACTGGCTTGTTCTTTGTTGCTTTCTCGGTATGCTTTCTTATAGAACTCAGAACCACCAGCCCAGCAGTGGTCCCAGGCACAATGTGATGGCCCCTCCCCCATCAATCACTAAGAAAATGCTCCATAGTCTTGTCTATAGCTGGATCTTACTGAGGCTTCTTCTCAACTGAGGTTCCCTCCTCTCCAATGACTCTAGCTTGTGTCAAGCTGACATAGCACTAGCCAGCACAGAAGTACTGCGTGAATTCTTCCAGACCCTTTCAGATAGAATCTCCTTTCTAGAGAATTTGTTCTCAAACTGTGGTACCCATCCCAGAAGTATCAGGGTGAATGGGAATTTATTAGGCACACAAATGCTTGGGCTCCACCCCAGACCTACTGAATCAGAAACTTCAGGGTGGGGTCCAGCAAAGTGACTTACTAAGCCCTCCCTGTGACTGAAAATACATGTGTGTTCTCTTTTTAAGTGTGAAACAATTCTCTAGAGACACTGACTCAGGGTTCATTAGCAATCATCAGATTCAGTGATCTTAATAGTAAGTGACTAAACATTTCAAACTCACCAGCTAATTCGGTCACAGTGTGGGGATTCCCACTGGGGTCCACGAATGAATCTTGGTCTTCTAGAATAATAGGCAATAAAAAAAAAATAGTCAGTACTGTGTGTCCACTCACACTGTCATCTTCATTTCCACCAGGTGCGTTTTCAGAAAAACATCATCTGCTAATAATGAAGTCACAGCTCATCTTTAAGACCTTGATGAGTGAACTAGAGTCTTAATCAAAATTAAGGAAACTGAGGCAACACCAGCCATCCTGGATGCTAAAAGTATGTTGTGGGTAGACATCCAAGAACAGAGTATTCCGGGGGAAAATACTACAATGCTTTCATGTGGCTGGGGTTTGAAGGGGACACTTCTTGGCTTTGATACTGGAATATAATCACTTAAATAGGATCTGGCTCAGATAGTGAAAGAGGTTTCTCTGAGTCTAAAACAAAAGAATCTTAGGGATGAATGAGGCAAGGACTCAAAGGGAAAAAATAAAATGTTTAGAGGAGAAAGGTCAAACGTAAGTGAAAAAAGAAACAGTGAAATAGCGTGAATGACGTAGAGCTGGGTATCAGAATAAATCTCAATTGATTTTTTTTTCAAATTTACACCTGCATTTTCAACAGTCATTGATATGATCCCATCTTCTCAAATATCTATCATCAGAAAACTTTAGGTTGTGACAAACTCAAGAGGGGCTAAATTTAAATCCCGAGATGAAATCTTAGATTCAGCATATAGGAAACATAAACAGAGATCAAGGGCTCCTAAAGTTGGTACAGATCATTACAATGATGCCTAGAAAGAGAATACAGTGAGCTGCTGATCACCATTCCCTGGTTAAGAGAGGGTTGCTTGGAATTGCTCCTAACTTTATGAGAGACTGCTTTTTTTCCCTCAGATAATGGTTATAATGATGGACAACAACATTTGCTGAAACACCACGTGAGAGTCCCACCACCAAAGTCACCATTTCCAAAGCCATCACCATCACCAGGCCCAACAGCACCACTGCCATTCATGGTTCAGTGCTTTGCATTGAGCGTGTAGACTGAGAAATGTGTACTGACAGAAATATCATTTGTGAATCTTCTGGAAGGAATCCATTTACTAATCACTGAATTCACAGAGAACTGGGAGAAATACAGATACCACCACCTTTCTTACAGTTATCAGATGGGATTAGCACATGTGTGTACGAATTTGGTAAGCACTTTACTTGTTAGCAATTAGACTCTGCAAGCCACCTAAGAAACTATAACTAAGATTGCCATTTCAAATTTAAATCCATTAAGTGGCATGATGGAGGGGACCATTTTTGCATGAGAACATTGCTGGCACTCCTAGAATTGATTCGTTCTGCAGGAATCTTACAGCAGCACTTGGAAGTTTTAATGAAGAAAAGATGGTTATTAATAAGGACACTAAGCAAAAAGCCTTCAGAGTAAAAGGGGGCTTGGGCTTGCCAATATTGCTGAAATTGGTATTTTTAAAGATCCTTTTCTTGAAGTCTTAGAGTGGAAAGCCAAAGGAAATATGTCATGCATATGACATCCTGGGTTTTCTTTCCCTCTGTCAATCAGAACTTCACCACTACCATCTGTTTTGCATATGTGATTCCCATGAGATCATTATTTTGTCTTTTGGGAGAGTGGAGGAGGTTGTGTCTTTCTACAAGTGTGTGTGTGTGTGTGTGTGTGTGTGTGTGTGTGTGTGTGTGTGTGTATTTAAGGTTATTAATCTTTAAGGTGTTAGTGGTTGAATGGTAGAGGTACCTGGACTATATGCACTAGCAGGAGTGGGCATCTAGTTTCTTAGCCACAGAAAGCTTTTTCCCCTTTCTACAGAGTTAGTTTCTTAATACAAACAAAGAAATAAAGAAGAGATATAGAGAAGATTGCTTATTTGAGAGAAAGGTCTCATGCTGAGTCCATGACAGATTTAGTTGAGTAAGTCATTGTTTACAATTACAATAAAAGTGAGGATCCCAGTTTATTAATAGTGAATCATGAACTTTGAAGCACACCAGGAGTAGAAAAGGTTCATATACCAAACCATCACCCAAAATGAAATGAACCAGTCCATCATTACCTATTAAAGATAATTTCAGAGGAAAGATACCAGTATATGAAAATCAATTAAATTGGTGAAGCTTTACTAAATAGTTAAAATATATTAGCTGAATCAAGTGAAATTTCTAATATTTAACTATTTCGGTCCACAAAAATGTAAGTTTCACATGGTTCAAGTTAATGTATCACAGAATAAAGAAAAGACAAAGCAAGAAAGCCTACCATGAGAACCAAGTCACAAAAAGTAAATGGAGATTACACAAGGAGATGCAAACATTATTTTATCTCAAATAAGTCCAAGTTTGCTGGCACTAAAATTGATGATCAATGATGAAAACCATTCCCATGGCACAAAGTGATCTAATCGCAGCCTGCACAGAAAATATCCTCTACAATAAGAAAAATATATATTGTTTCTCCAGAGAAGCAAACCAGATGACAAATGACCAAATTACCTGGTAAGGAGCCATCAACATTAAAGTCGGAGTCTGCAGCAACAGTCGCTTCAGTTTCTCCAAAGACCCCAGTCTTAGCAGGAGTCACTAGGGTGAGAGTCCCATTTTCCATTGTGTCTGGGTAATGAGAGGTGTAGCCTTCCAGAGAAGTAGTTGCATCTTTGGGAAGGCTTGGACCTCTTCTTCCACCACTCCTAGCTGTGTGGAGGTGGAGTCAATGACAAGTCCATGCCTGTATGGTCACCACCCACCATGTGCTTGTCTTCAGAAGGTAAAGTTACTGAGACATCTTTATACTTGTTCTCCAAGACCAAAAGCATATGGTACTGAATAAAAACAATGTTTTACAAAAGACACCAGCTGGATAGTACTCAACAGAAGAGATTTTGGTGACTACTATCCACAAGAGGCATTTCTTACAAGATTTATCTGAGTCATCAAGGGGAGGTTAATCCCATTGTGACCTTGAACTCAGGTACTACAGGATTTCGAGCTTTATTTTCAGTTGGATCCACTTCTGAGGAAGAGGGAGAAACAAACCATTGGCTTTCCATCTGTCTGCAACTGGAATAATAAATTCAAGATCCAAAAGACCTGAGTCTACTGACTTAATCTTTTCTGTGCCAGAAGGGCATTGCTTCTTAGTCACCAATATTGTGGAGTTGTGGTCCAGAAGACAAAAATGGAAATAATATTATTGTAATGAATTTCAGAAAATCTTATAGAAACAATCATCATTTTCTAAACCAACTCAACAGAAAAGTTTGTACCTAATGTACATTGGCTTATAAAGCAGGAAAGTCAGAGACCACCACCAGACACACCTTTTGATTAAAACTAATGTATAAAAATTAGCAATGGATGTACCACCACCGAAGATACCAGAACATTTTGATTTCTGCTAAATAACCAAAGCTAGTTGGGCTTTATGATCCTTACTGCTAGATGGCAGAACAGAAGTTGTTGAGTGGTATTTCTCTTCTTCCATTTCTCCATGTGATGTAAAGAAGTCCTGAGAATGACTCTGCGCTGTTTCAATGAGGGATGAAGTTAGTGTTAATTAGGAACCATGATACAAGTCCTTTGTTGCCCACTTACATTGATGATCTAGCTATGAATTAGCAGATGGATAGATACAAAGGGAGAATGATAAATTTGCCCTTTATCATCTGCCCGATTGTTAAAAATATACAGAAAAATTATATTTTGTCCCTAGTTAGCTTCTTTTTCTCTTAGTGCAGTTCCAAAGTGAAGCCAAAGCCAAAACTTTGCCCTCCCTGGAGCACCTTGACCCAACTACACTAGGGATCCCCAGGAAACAAAAATCACAGATATGAAAAGTAGAGCTTTAATTTCAGTTTTCCTCAACCATTAAGACTGCCAAATTGTGAACAAAGAAGTTATAAGGAAAAAGTGCTATGTAGCTTGTCTTCGAACACAAAAGAAAAAGCTCATCTCCATCAATTAACCCAGAGAAAATTTTACAGGGAAATACATGACTCCCTTGTAGAAAGCATTGCATTTTAGTTACTTCTTTGTTAATAGGCTGTGATCTCGCCTATAACAGGGTTTCACTTCACTGCACCAAGGAAATGCTTGCCTGGGCAAACACAGGGCCCTCAGTGACTTATCAATTTGGGATTGAATCATTGCCCATATCTGAAATTACTTTGACTGTTTTAAGTTTCTTTTGTGTTCTTCCAAGAAAGGCACTGACTGACCTCTGAGGAGCGGGTACAAAGGCTATATAAAACATGCCCATGAGCCATGTCCACCACCAATAAATGCAGCCAGGAGAGACCTTCACCAAATCCCAAATCCAACACCAGAACAAAAGCCAACAGTAACACAAAATGGAAATACAAGTCCTGCATTGGCAAGAGCCATTTATAGGCTTATTTATATCTCCTTTGATGCCAATTACTGTTGTTTACATTAATGATGGTCAATACATGCCTGCTGGCTTTTTTCCCTATGCCTAAAGGTCTCCTATAAAGGACTCTGACCATTATGTGTAGCAAGAAGTAAAATGAGGCCTTCTTAATTTGGAGATTTCTTTGATAATCTGCCAAGAATTTATGAATGAGTTTGGGTTGATCCTTGGGCTATCCTTATACACATGGTGAAAATTAAGGACACTAAAAATTTCATATTCCTTCATCTTTGGCAGATGTTTAAGGATAGAAAACTATGTTAGCAAATGATTCTTTTTAATTCCAGGGATGCCACTTTGGTCAGTTATTAACAACATGCCTGTTGCTCCTCTCAAGTCTAAATGCTATTTCTCTATTCACTATGATAATCTGGCCCTCATGTTACACCATCATGAACGCAATCTTTCTCCTTCCTTGGCTGGAAGAAGGGTGTGAATGAAAAAGTTTCTATTAAAACATAGAGAAAACAATCTACTAGTGATGGTCTTCAATGTCCTTCACATGAAGAGTTGGAGAAGAAACATGGAGATGAATTAAGCCTCCATATCCTTTTGCTAATAAAAAGTCATTGGCTCTGAAGGAGACTCTGAATGAAGATAAAGTCAGGTTTAAAGAACCCATACAAGAAAGACAGCCAATGAAAACGGATTCATCCCCTGCCTGAGCTGAACCACCTAACAAAGACCACACCATTCCACCACCAAATGTGACATTTTGACCAATGTGAGCAGATGTGAAGTAGGAAGACAGGTCAACAAAAGAGCTGTGTGTCATTATCCTTACGAGTTGTCACTGAAAGTGGTCCTGTCCTGTCCAAGTCTTCCACCAAATGGGTATTTGGAGCTGTAGTAGGCCGAAAGGTTGTACTATGACTGGCGTCCGTATCTGAAGGAATTAAATCTGTGTTACTGCCTTATTCCCTATGCCATTGCCCAAGGGCCATTGTCATACAGCCAAGCAATTTTTATATTCAGCCTGATAAGAGGAAAGAAACAGGTTCACATGTACAGACTATGCTAAATGATTGTTTCTTTAAGAATACCACAGGATATTCATGGTTTTCATTCAGGGCAGAGTCGAGTTAAAGCTATCACATATTTGTTTGCTTGTTTTGCTTTGTCTGGAAGGAAGTTGCAAGAGCACTCAATGAGGCTCACAGTCCTGGCAAAGGGACAGAAATGTAGCCCATGTGTAATTTGCTCAACTCCAAGGCAGACAAATACAGTCAGACTCATGGAGACAAATAACACACACAAGCACCATTTTGTCACCTCCTGCTCACCAGGCCAAACAAAACAACACCAAGAAAAGTTTTTAAGCAGCCATTGAATTCCCTTATTTGGTTATTTCTGTTCTTTTATTTTTGCTTCACAACGTAAACACAGAAAAAACAAAAAAAATATACACATTACCCAATATAACTATGTTGAGACAACAGGAAGTATCCATAGACAAACAAGAATCATTCTTCCCATAAATATAAGAAAGACGTATCTTGGGAGTTCTGATTATAGTATTGAGTGGTATGAAACATCCCTGAAGTAATTAAAAAGACTGCTTTTTCTGATGGTTATCACAGATCTATTATGGGCTGGAATAACAAGTTCAGAGTGAAATAAAGGCCAAACAGTCCATAAACACCATCAATATTGCTAACTCTACAATTTTCTCAGTCCACCCACACCACTGCCTCTGGGGAGATCTAATCAGTTCCAACAGTGGGAAGCACTGGGATATGGGACACCCACATTGGGACTCCAGCCTTTGCATGCTAAAAGCAAAGACAGATAAGATCTCTGTTAGAGAAAAATGTGTGGCTCACTCTACCATCAGGATTTCAAAGAAGAAAGGCCAGTTGCCCCATTCAAAATTTTAAATGGATACCCTACCAGGAAATGGCCTTGTCTGATGAATGTCTGCATCCACCCTTGTTCATTTTTCCTCTGATTAGAAAAATGCTTTGAGGACTGTCATGTCATTGTACGATAGAAGCTGTCATGTGTGTGTGAGGAAACGTAGTAAAGAAACTGCAGACATGACTACTTCGTGATATGGTTTGTATTGTAGGTGTGTGTGTGTGTGGGTGTGGGGGAGGGAGAGAGAGAGAGAGAGAGAGAGAGAGAGAGAGAGAGAGAGAGAGAGAGAGAAACAGCCAGAGGCATCTGGAGGAGTTCAGAACAAAGAAAGGAAAAGGTAGACTATGCATGGCCAGAAGACTGGACATAGCCAGGGCTAGGAAAGAGGGAGAGAGAGAGAGAATAGTGGAGACAGCAAGATAGCAAGAGATAGAGAATAGAACACAGTGAGAGAGTAAAAAAAAGTAAGAATATAAGGAGGGTGAGTAGCTGTGGGGAGGGGAGAGCCAGGAGACTGGCACAGGGGACTTTGAAATGTTGTAACAAGTACTTGTGAATTGCGACTGAGGGATCTTGGAGGCCAACATGGGCTTTGATCTGCAGTGGCAGGTATATGTCAATGGAGAGCCATGTGTCCTTTCTGCCAGAGCTAAGGGAACTGATTCCTTTTGACAGATGGGAACTGGTTCCACAAGTTCTTGAGGAATGCTGGCCTTTATCTAACCACTAGAAATCCTCCTATAGTCTAGATTGAGCTCCTTTCTGGATATTTGGACTGCCTATGAGATCTAACACCTTTTACTTGATTATTTACCTATGAAATCTAATCTTTCTCTCTTCTTCAGGTTGGACACTTAATAATGATTCTGGAGGTGTTTTGCTGAGTTTATTTATTTATTGATTGATTAATTATTTACTTTTTAGAATGTATTTCAGTCAGATATGTGTAGAGCATATGGCTGACAATTTATATCCAGAAAATACATCTAAATGAAACTTCTCTGAAAAAATTTACAAAACCCTGTATTTGGTTATTTTGGAATGTTACATTTTGTGATAAGGATATTTTGTTTTAAAAAATGTAATTCTGCTCATGAGTATAATAGAAACCCAGTCTTCCAGTTGTTGAATCCTAAGAGGACAATGGCCACCAATTCTTGGTGTTTCTCTCAAGCAGGTTGCTGCTGTTACTTTTAACAGGAAAGTTGCTTTTAAATGTGCAAATTAGTCAAATAATTCACAACCCTCCTTTCTTGCAAAACTACAACTAATACCTTTTGCTTTCTCTTTTTAAATTGCTTGTGTTTCAATAAGAATGAAAGGCATTAACAAAATAGGAGTTTTTGTCTCATGTATAAGTTGTCTATTCATTAAGTTCATAGCCATTCAAGGAGGGCCCAGAATGGTCTAAATCACTAATATTTCAATACCACATTATCTCTAAATGAGGCAACAATAAATAACTTTACAGAGTCATTGCATTGTTTGTTTACATTAGCTATTCACCTTTTTTTTTCACAAGTTAGATTTGTATACCAAAACCAAAATTTATCTTTGAATCTATAATGGATACAGTCACATCACTGAATCCATTTTTATTGTTTCTTTTGAAATCTTTGTACTTAAAAAGGAAGGAATCTTAAGAATATCCTTTTCTTAGTCAGGCATGATAGTAAATGCAATTGCAGCATTCAGGAGACTGAGGCAGGAGCATCATCAAGAATTGATGACCAGCTTGGGATATGTAGTGAGACCATCTTAAAGTAAGAAACAACCCACCTGTCTCCTAGGTGTAAGTAACTTCCACTCTTGTCAGCCTAAGACTGACTAGTCCTTAACCTTCCTGGCAAATTCTATACTTGCTGACCAGAACTGTGCACACAGATGATGTGCATATCTATTTCATACCGATTTGTATCAGCAAACTAATTTTTGAAAGTGCACCAGGATGCTTAGGAAAGTAGACTGAACTAAAATCAACAGTACATTTCAAAGGGAAAAGACACATAGTTGATTCTAAGAAACATGGTATATTAAAAAGTTTCAGATGCCGTTTACCCTTCCTTTCTGTTTGATGATCTTGTCCCATTGGATGTGAAATTGGGTCGAGGAACTCAGTCCAGGAGACGTTCTCTTGACTCTGGGTTGTCATTCTTTGACTTGGATGGTTGTGGGTTGATGCTGTTGTCACCATGCAGTTCAAACAATCATCAAAATGTTAATTGACATTTGGGCAGGGATATATAGACTGGCTTTTTAAAAAAAGACTTTATTCTCTAGAGAAGATAATGAAAATCACTTTCTAGTAGTGAGGACAAAGGAGCTGCATCAGTTTAGAATGTTTTCCCACGTTTGGTTTCATTTGTGTTCAATTTCTTGGTCACCAGCATGTAAGTTGGAGGATGCATAGCATTAACAAGTGCTGTAATGGATAGAAGATGAGTTACAGGCATCAAGGGAGGATGAAGTAATTGTCAACACAAGCTGCCACAGTCCCCTAAAGAAAGCCTTGTAAGAGCTCAAGTGCATGATGTCACTCTGAGACAATCACCTCCCACAGTGAAATGCATGAGCTGGTAGTGATAAACAGAGGACATCAGGTAAAGGCTTCCCAAGGGATGAGCATGAAAGTGCTACTTCTCACAAAAGCACAGAGGGGGTCCATCAGAAACATTGCCTTCTAACAATGAGAAATGGCATGTAGGTACTCGGTGGATTATGCCTTTGTTTCATTCTGTGCCATTGGAGAAGTACAGGAAGAAAGATTACAGTAGCATTCCCCAGAAACAAACACACCAAGGAGCCAGTCACCAAACTACTAGTGATTCATTTACAAGTTGCCCTGCACTGCAAAGAGGTTATGTATCAGATTCCACATTGCAGATGGAAACATGGAGATATTTCCCACTGATACCAAGTGATAATGTAGAATTCACACACTTTGCAGGGCAGGGTGAATCACAACGCTTAATCACACAGACAAAGGAATCATGCAGAGGGGCTTGCAGAGACATGTTATCATCTGGCATCCTTCACAGATGATAAGACTTAAATCTAATTCCCACAACCCCACAGTTCCAGAATGGAGAAGATGACTTTATTTGTAAATGTGATTAAGCAGTTGTACATTCGAGGAGATATTCAAAACAGGTAAGAACAAAAGGTCAGATGACATCACCCAGGGATCTTTCTTTTTCTTCTAATGCTTGAATCCACCCACAACACTAGATTTCTAATAAAATTCTTTCTTATAAGCTTAGTGCTTTACAAAAATATAAGGAAAAAACAGACTTGTATTATATAGTAAGTGAGTTTTAGGAAGCAGAAACGGGGTTTTCATTAGAGAGGGCCTTTGTCATTGTCTCACTAGGTGATGCCTCAAACTAGATATGAAAACCACACACGTAGAGACTAAATCTATTTTTTTCATGTGCGTCTATCTATGGCTGTCCAGGTAGCTTGTTAAGAACATTAACACTCTGGATCTATGTTTACTTCAATGTGATGTATTAAGGAACCAAACACCTTGGACAATTCCTTCAGTGTCTTTTTTTGTGTCGACTTTCCAATGCCCAGTATTGAACTCAGAAAGTAGTTTCCACCCACATTGTGAAACCCTCCATTACCAGTTGCCCCTGCTGTCACATGGGAGTCTTCAGTTGGTGTGGGGGAGTACTTCCCCTGCCATCCATTCTCAAACCACTGCTCTTGCTGAGTAGCAGCTTCTTCTGTTGTACTACTAGGAGCTGCCTGGGCTGTGAGGAGAATGCTGATGGTGAGCCATATTGTCTAGGTTCTTAACAAACCCTCTGATATGTCTGTCTACATTAAGGGTAGAGATAGATAGGTAGGTAGGTAAGTAGGTACATACATACACACACACACACACATAGTGGTCCCAATGAAAAACTATTATGAGAGACTAGACTTATAACTAAACATCAAGAAATAGTCTCATAAGGCTAAGGTTGGGTTTTCTCCCTTTTTTGGCATTATATAATTCTTTCCAATATATATATATATATATATATATATATATATATATACTATATACATACACATATAGATATATAGATGATAGATAAATGCTACATACATACATAGATACATGGATGATAGATAAATACATACATACATGCATACATACATTCATAATAGATGATAGATAGATAGATAGATAGATAGATAGATAGGTAGATAATGACAATAATAGTTGGTGATAAGCTACTTATATTCTGAAAGGTAGATTCCAGAAATAAAAGTTTTAATTTTCCAATCCTTTAATTTTCCAGATGGGAAAAGAAATTTCATTTGTTGAAAGTCATGTACCCAGAGTAGCACAAAGTCAGGATGAGACCTTAGCCTGTATATTATGAAGTCTAAGTATTCTTGTTTTAATATTGTCTGTAGCCTCACATATTCTGCCAGAAAGAGCTTCTGTTGGAAGAATGATCTCTGTGTTCCAGTGATTTTTGCAGTGGGAAATGTGTTACATGACAACTCACAACACTATTGTAGTAGGCGACATTTGCAAATAGGCTGCACAACCTATCACCACACTCAGCAGAAACATGCTGGCATGCAGGCTATGGGGATGCCTGGGATGTTACTGTCATGTGATTGTCTAGGGACGTTTAAAATTGTAAAATCTCTTCTGAACAAAGCTAATTCAGTGGAAGAAAAAAAAAACTATTCTAGCCAGTTGGGGAATTATATAAATAATAACAGCATCAGATAGGCTTAACCTTTCAAACATTGTTTTAAAAAGGCAAGATGACTGGGATAAAATCCCATCAGAGTGCTTCCTGGAAAAGTCAGAAAGCCACTGACATTTTCATCTGTAACAGTTCATAGCAAATTTCTGATTCATCAGGAAAATTAGAGCCTATAAATTGCCAAACCAAAATAACTTTCATGACTTGCAAAATTCACTGTATCTCATTATCTTAGAAAATGGTTTGTGTGATTTTGTAATAGCAAATATATTTTTAAAATGAAATTCATGCTAATTTTGCCTTTACATTTTCCAAACCATTCCTGGGATTAACTAATTATCCAAAGGGAGGGAGGCCCAAATCTTTAGTTATTTTCCATTAGTTAAGTCACTATCTCGCAACAAGTAATAAAGTTAAAAAAAATTGAATGTAATTATTTTTAAAAGTAAAAATTAGAAAGTGGACTGCTATGCTACTCAAAGTTTAACAAATAAATAAGTATACATGTGTGCTCACAATACACACATGTATCTACATTCACTCTATCATTTATTGTGTAAGTATAATTAATCCTTCAAGTGTCCAACCATGCCCTGGTGTTTTCAGTATAGTCAGGAATGGGTTAGGAAAACAGAGAACTTCCACTGTAAACCATAAGGGCTGACTGTTTTCTAGGAGTTGTAATGCCCCCTTGATGAAGTCCAGAGGTTACTATTGTCTATTTTGCAATCATTGATGGTAACTTCTGTTTGTTAACTCTATCTAGATTTTCAAATATCTCCTAGTAAGTTTACTCCACATCCATCATATTTTTACATTAGATGCATTTAATCCAAGCTTCTTAAGTAGCATTCTGCTTAAATGCAAACATTAAGCATTCTGCTTAATGCAAAAATAATTGATAAGAGAGCTGTTAGAACCCAGGGGAGACTGGAATGGGTCCTGTTTCATCTATATTCTTTTTTCACCAGTCTACTTCTTGGTTAACTCAACCCTTAATCTTTATGCATATATCAAATTAACTAGGGTGAGTAGGCAATGTCTGTCAGACACTCAGTACAATGCCCAGAACTTATTAACCCGTGTCTCTAACTTTTCCTTGACTGACTGAACACATCCCTAGAACCAAGAAATCCTCAGCTCTTTGGTTCCTAAGCTACTGTTTCTTACATTTCCTTTTTAAGAATATTCAAGAATATGAAAGTGGTGGTTGAACTATAATTTTTAAAGTGCTACAAGATGTTATTGCAAGGATCAGTTTTATCCCAAATAAAGTAGACATCTCTCTGAGATACAGATGAAAGATGAATACATTTCACTTTTTCTTTGTTTTCTTGTCCTAGGTTCATAATCCAGTGGTGAAACACAAGATTGTTTTTGGAAAACCTGAGATATTTGTCTATAAGTAGAAATAACAATAGGATCATCAGGCCCTTTCCCAAGTTGCCCTGAATTTTTTTTAACCAAAGGATAGCTTAGAACTTGAAGAGAAACCGTATGAGGCCTGAGTTTCCAGGACACAGTGGTACTATTCTACCACAGAGCAAGGAAGAGAGTATGGAAATAAAGAAACTGGATATATCACAGGTATTCACTGAAGTTGATTTCAAAGATCTGCCCACTCATGAAGATTTCCTTCCAGATCCCACACTAAATACTCGAGGAACACACTCCCAGTACCACATCTCCAAAATCACATACCAACCACCAAAACAGAACCCTTAGGAATCATTGACACAAAAAAACAGCATCTCATATCCACTTTGTAAGCATTCTGGTCTCTCTGAAAATCTGACAACTAACTTGTCATCTTTCTTCCTTATTTCTAAAATTTGTGGGCAGATCTGGCCCCTTTCAGGCTCTGCAGATAAATTACTTTGCAGAGACAAAAGGTGTGGCCAACAGCTAAACAGCATCTCTGCTAACTTGGGTACTAGAACTTCAGAGCATTGTCCTTCTTACTTGTACTTGTAGCATGTGGGTTCTCCTCTTCATCCTGATACTCATGGTGATTGAAAGGAGGCTGTGGTTCCTGGGTCGAGTTTTCTCCATGAGCAATAGTGCTGTTTCTGTCTATATCTGTTGTGATGATGGTTAAGTACACTGTGACTTTTAATCAAATAGTCTTAAATAATCCTTTTCTTCTACTGAAGTACATGTTATTTACTGGTCCCATGCCTAAGTACTATCTCTGAGTACTTACTCTCAATAAATCTGAGTGACTTCACTAATCTGTCTCCAGAGAAAATGAACAGGTACAGATTTCTATGATATTACTTATTATTCCAGAATAACCAATTTGTCAGAGACAGTACAATAAATCATTCATATGGAGTAATTTTAATAACAAAATGACATAAAATGACTTGTGTCCAGGTAGTATAGTTAATAAATGACTCCCATGTGGAGTTGAGTACCCTCATGAAAGTTCGCTAGGGAAAGTTCGCTAAGGAAATTAATTAAATTTCCCACGGAGTCCAGATGTTTGACCTTCACAGTATCATAGGCTTTGAGGGAAAGTATCATTAACAAATGTGCGTAACTCATTACCAGTCATTCTGGTGGTTGTCTGAGGTAGTACTTCTGGGTTTGAATGGCTTGGCTTCCACTGAATCCAGTCTTGGTTCTGTTTTGTATGGTCAGAAACCCGTGGGGTGGATGAAACTGTGATAATGATGATTGAAGCAATTAGAAAAATGTTATTTCTGGAGCCTTCATTGCTTGCTTTGTACATTTCATTCTTCTGTAGTCTACACATTAGCTCATCTATACAAGGATGTATAGATGGTTGAGTGGAAATGGGGAGAAAGGAAAGAGCCTTCAGCTTCATCCACCGTGTTGTTTTGTATCTCAATGTCCTTTGCATTTAGGACATGAGATCTTCTGGATAAAATAGTCAAGGAGGTCGCAGTAGCAGGAAGAACAGCTTTGAAGACACTAGCCCTCCACCAAGAATGACCAAGATGTGAAGAGTTTTGCCCATCCATGCAAATTGTAGGAGCCCTCTGCATCTGGAAGCCATTTGTTGGTATCACTGGTAGGTGAGCTAGCTGTAGAGGTTGATAGCTGAGTTATAACACAGGAATCACTATTTTGTTAGTGATTTTGCTGGGGGAAAGACATAACCACAAGAGCCAAAGCTTTCATGTCGATGGTCTTTGGAAAGAATCTCTGCCTTGAAAAGCCATATGGATTAACTACTCTCCCCCCCCCACCCCTGTACATATACCAAAAAGCCATAAGATCCTCATTAAATAAAGAACATATTATAAGCAAGCCATTCACAGCTACTGAAAAAGAACCAAGGTATACAGTTTCATAGGAAAGAATAAGAAGTAACCGTCCACCATCAGTCAGCACAACAAACTGGAAAACAAAGACATGTCAGTTCACCAATGCCAATGTCATGCAAAATAAGCAGGCTGGGATAGAAGGTTCGGCAATGCCAGAAATTGTATCTTTTGTAAAAAGGCTATTTGCAAGTTCATCTTCCTTCAAATTTTACTTTGGTAACACAAAACAATTTCATAAGTTAAGAAAATACTTTAGAGTCATTAACCACATTTCTAATAAGCATGAAAAAAGTGATAGTTAGCCCAAGCCTCCAGGAGAAAGAGGGCATCCTGTTGAATTAAAAGGCTTAGGTGCTAAGTAGAAAAGTGAAATTGAATACACACTATAAATATGGGGGGAGATGACATGACAACTTTATCCCCTGGAGTGTGACATAACACATTTGTAAGTGGTTCTTTTGAGATTGATGTCTAGGGAAGCTACATCCTGAATCCAGAAGACACTGTCATAGTAATACTCAATGTGTGTGGGTTCTTTGGGTTCTTTTCTAATGTTCCTAAGCTCTGCAGAGGCTCCAGCCTGAGAAATGCACCACTTAACTCTTTATATAGAATATCTGGGTTGTCTCTACTATTTGCTGTATCAATGCCACACACTCAGATGTCTTCAAGCCACAAGCTGCTTTTAGATCCTTCCCTCACTAGGTGCTATTCACTTGGGAATGAAATCCTTCAATTGTAATGGGATGGATAAAGCTCTGGCTCTCTAAGGTAGCTGATACAGTACCCCAAAATCCTTTCTCCAAATGTTAATTGAATCAGGTTTATGATTCTCATCTCTGTCCAGCAAAATCTTAGCTTATGATAAGTTTAGGGAAATCGGTCACAGGGCAGAACAGGATATTTTTCTCTACATTCTCCCTCTTGATGTCCTTAGGAAATTTTATAGAGCTCACAAATTTGCACATGGTTACATAGTGGTGTCACTATCTGCTTTTATTTATTAACACTGTCTTTTTTAAAGCTTAGCTGGCATTCATTCTTCCTTCTACTGTTATTCTGTTATATTAGTGTCTGGCAAGTTGGTTTAAACTTTTTGAATTTTTCTTTTGATTTCAACCATTTTTGATTAATTAAAGAAGTTTTTGATATCTAGTGCCTATGTTTTAAACCATTACAAGGCCTCCCAAACTTTCAATTCAGGATCATGTGCAATTTTTAATTCCCCTCCTCCAAGTCACATTAACATCTGTCCCAGCAGTCCATGAGCCTCCTGTAGGCAAAAGTTTTGGCCTTTCCATCCTTTTGTTCTCATTGTCTGGCACAGCAGGGACACAGTGAATATTTGTTGTAGTGTTTTAATATGTCATTCCCTAGTCACACCTGAGAATGCAGATATTCTATAAGAGCAGACATTGATAAATAAGACAGGAAGAACACGAAGTGTTGGAAACTTCAGGACCCATTTTTCTCAGCAATATTTTTGGTTTCCATTTTATCTCCTCCTACAAAATCTCATCAGAATGGAATTAAAGTAAAATCATAGATTCACTCATTTTTTGCATCATCTGTTTCCCAAGAGAGATACTGTATCATCACCTAGGTCCCTCAACAAGTCTTGCATATATGGTTCTACTGTAATTGTTTATTCTTACTGGTGCTGGAGATAAAATCTTCATCATCATCAATGCCTGATCCAGAAAAACTGGGGTATTTGTCTGTTTCATCTTCATTTTCCTCATTTGGCTCCCAGCCTGTTGGATTGGTATTTGACTCCGTACCTGTTGTGGTGACTTGCATTAGTAGTTGAGCTGGCTACCAAGGAACCCATTTCAACCAAGGAGGAAAGTCAGGCCCGGGAGGTGTTATGGAGTTCCCAAGATTTTAAGAAGAAAGTGAAAGCGTAGGTTTGTGTATCTGTAAAGCCTCATATCTTAAGATAATACACATTAAAATAATTGGCCATGATCTTTACAACTCAATATTCTTTAAGGAGGCTAAGAATAACTATAGGTAGAGCCTACCTAAGAAGTTAGAGAAAAACACAACAAAGCACAGACCTGTGCAAATTCCCCCTTGCTTTCAGATGTCTCTCTTATTACATCTTTAGAATATTCTATTAAAGCTCGGGTGTCAGGACAGGAATAGGAGGGTTTCACATATCCCTATTTGCAGTCAAGACACTTTCAGAAACACCCCAATGTCAAGTTTCTAAAATTCTATGGTTAAAAACATATTTTTAAAATTCATTTGTTTTGTTTTATTTTTATTTCTTATCATGGTTCCTTGGTTATATGAAGTAAGGGGTTTTGTTTCAACATTTCTAAGAATGTACATACTATTTTTCAGTCTTTTTCTTTCCTCAGATCCTGCATCCCTAATGTGAATATAAGGAACACTATTCATCCTCAATAAAATTTCCCATCGAGGAAGAAAAGGTCAGTTAACAGAAATATTCTTGTCATTTATTAATCAACCAAAAGGACTCTTAAAGAGGCTGATGACAGTGGACTGCTGTCCAGATTTTGAGAATTTCTCACTTTCAATTTTTGGATGCCACTTTTAAAAAGAAACTGGAAATCTTTGACCTTTTCTCAGTATATACTGCAAAAGGTGTTTTTTTGTTTTGTTTTGTTTTGTTTTGTTTTGTTTTGTTTTCTAAAAAGGATTCTTCTAACTTTTGAATGCAATTCAGACTATCTTACGGGATTACCATTTGGTTTCTTACTATTGGTGTCTAACTAAATCAATTGATAGAAATCTTCTGTATTTTGGTAGCTGTGCCTATGTCATTTTACATTCTCATATTTTTTTTTGACTTTGCTAATTTGAGGATGCACTCAGACAGTCTTTTAGAGTTGAAATATTTGTTACTACCAAAAACTTGCCCCACTTTACAATTTCCTAATTAGCTTTATCCTAGGCTATATCTATTCATATAAAGTATAGAAAAGAAAAACCATGTATTAGTGATATTAAAACAAACATAAAGATATCAGAGTTGGTCTTTCCTAAATTGACACATACATTTGTAAGACAGAATGGCATTTAGATTTTAACCACATCCCATAGGTTAATGAGAATTATTAAAGGCTGTCAGGCAGGCATATGATACACGGTATCTGTAACTCATTACCAGGCATCTTCGTTGTTGTATGAAGATGACTCTTGGACTCTGGTGGTTGAAAAAACCATGAAAACCAGTTCTGGGCTTCTTGCCTCTTGGGCGGTGTTTCAGGAGTGGTCATCAAGGCTGTTGTAACCATGATTGAATTGATTGTTGAAATGTTAATTATCAGTTCCTAAGAAATAGCATGGTAAATGTTTCCACTCTCTCCCTATCCAGAGAGACAGCTATTCTTGACATAGGTAGTAGAAAGAAACGAAAAACAAGAAGTTCTGTTCTTTCAGGAGCCCAAACTGAAGTCAATAAAATGTCAGAGGTGGAGGGACCTTAAACATAGAGTGGTTCATGTTTTCATCATAAGATGAAAAACCGGTGTGAGATACTTATCTGAAGTCCAGTCTGCAACAGAGAAGTCTCAAAAAATTCATGAGAATTATCTAAAGTGCCAGTCTATAAAATAGAACAAGGGTTGAATATTTGTCTCCTTCCCCAGGAAGCCAAATTAAACCTGAAGTGAGAATTTCAGAAATAGAATGCTCTTCTAAAAACTAGAATTAAAACATCAGGCGATATTTTAAACAATTTAAGACTGAACTAAATTTAAGATCCTCTCCAAATCTGATCATTTGTGATTTTAGAGACCAGCTCTTAGGAACCCAAGCCCTTTGATGTTCTTCACAATTGAAGGTGGCCAACCAATATCATTCCCATGAGTTTAGGGTATGATATTCTGCCAGAAGTCGCAGGCATGTAACCCCATGAATCCCAAATGCAAGTGAGAAGAGGGACACACAAGATGTCTTCCCATCTTTTTCCAAGGAGGGTGCATATACCATAGAGACATTGCCCATAATTATTTTCATGTCAGCACTGTACTTTGCAAGAAAGAGCAGTCCATTTTTTAAAAATATAGTATAATGTACCAAGAAAAACAGGAATACATGAAGGGACCCAATGACTCCACCAATACCAAAGCAATAGTCTCGATTTGAACACTCCCAAAGGTTGCCAATTATGTCGTCGTGATGCATATGGGAATATGAAACAATAGGAAACAAAAAAAACCAGAATAAGTTCAAGCAGAGAAAGCTGAAGCCATCCATAAGTTTCCAAATACAACAATCAGTGAAATTTCTTTTGCCAGTTATCAAGAAAGCCGAGAAACAATTAAAGATGAAACAGCCACAGAACCCCATGGTTCACACTATTTGTCCCATGAAGATGTATCATACATATCAGCATAACAAACAGCATTTCCTTATTCTGCCATCTCTTTCCTACACCTGTCTGCCTCAGCATGCTATTGATCACTGTGATGTGCTAAGCACGCAAAACAACAGCAGGGTTTCCTATGTGACTAAAGAAGGAAGGATCTAGTTTATCAGTGTCTTACAAGGTGAGAACATGCATGAGGCTATTTTTCCATTTTTATGACACCCTGTCTACAGAGAGAACGCCTATTTAGAAATATGGCCATATTACCTGTCAACATAAGTTAATAAATGAAAAAAATCCCTATTACCTCCCATTATTATATATTGATTCACTTTCCCAACTCCCCAGGCAAAGATTTCAAGTCAAAAAACCTGAGAACTAATGACCAAATGTCCCCACTATTTACTTGTGACCCCTACATGCTAATATAAAGCAACAGGTCACTGTCATTTCTTAGAACTTTCATAAAAGGTTTCAGTGTTCAAAGGTATAAAAAAATCTATCCTTCCTATTACGAATCAGTACTTCTCTGTGTTTTTGATATGATTATTTGGTTAGTAGATGTCTTTCTAGAGGTCACCTCCTGAATGACTCTCCTAGTCATAAGAAAAAGAATCTGACTGTGTTCATGTTGCCAAAATGAAAGTAAGGCATTGAGGAGACACTAGATCCACAGGTCACCATGGCCACTAAATGATATCAACACCTGATGCCAGCAAGGATGCTGTCTAAATATGATAATGAACACCAATCCTTAACACCTCACTGAAGGCAGCTGACAAGCAAAAGATACAATAATTTACCTGTAGTTGCTGTCGTTGTGGGCTCCTGAGTCTGAGTCGTGGATTGTGAATTACCAAACCAAAACCATATCCAATTATTTTGTTTCTGAGCTGCTGCATGGCTGTTTGAGTGCACAGTTGAGGCAACTAGATTAATTATGAAAATATCATTTAGTGAGATTCCCCTTTCCTCTATCAAACCTGTACTCTCTGCCCTATATACAATATCGCTATTTATTATAGGATGAGGACTTAAAAGGGGAAATTAGTACCCAGTTTTATCTTTCCAGCCTCCTAACATTTCACAGAATCTTAGGACAGAGTCAAAAGGGCAGATTAGGGCATGAGTTCAATGAATCTCAGTCTTCTACTCTAACTCCCTCAAATCATGACCAGGGGAAAACTCAAGCAGCAAATTAATTGTGATGGAGAGTGATTTGCTCTTCTCCAATGGCACTGTCATTCAACCATGATCTGGATGTCTTCAGTGCAGCGGAGCTTACAATGACTTCCATTCATTAATCTTCAGAGGGTCTTTATGAATGTCTGCATCGTTTCTATTTGTTCAGTATTGTACCCAGGTAACCTGTGACAATGGCCATTTCAAAGCTCCACCCTCACTCATCAAATACAAGTTAAACTTCATAGCTGGGCAAGAATTTTGGAGAGAGTTCATATTTAAAATGTTTTCACTAGATGACATTTTCTCCAATATCTGTCTAGTACATTCCTACATAAAACTCATAAAAGCAAAGACGTGTTGAACTCTGTTCAAGTTAGAGAAAGGATAATAAGAGCATATATTAATTAAAACTTGTTAATTAAAGTCTTTCATCTGACTTTCAAGTTTGACTGGTTTCCAGAATGTTCCCCCATAGGAACAAAATGGCAAATGCCATTGGGATAAATGTCTGAATCTGTTGGAGACTTAAAAAGAAAACATTTTAAATCAAACACCTCTCAAAAATAGACGGTCTTCTCATAGTGCAGGTAATTCTTGCATAGCACAGATAATCTACTGGATCCCATGTGAACTCCAGTTTAGAACAGGGACATCACACAATAACGAATGCCAAAGATGCCATTAGTGAGAGCAGAGATAGAAGTTACCCACAATGCCTCCCAGTAAGGTACCTACAAGAGTCTACAGACTTCCCACTACTAGAAATTGCACTAAAGATGCTTACTTTCCAGAGCTCACCCTCAAGTACCCCAGAAAAAGCAGCTAACAAGAAATGGACACACTGAGACAAATGAGCATTATTTCTGTCTTCCTACATGGAGTTGTGTGAGAGGAGACAATGAAAGAAGTGTCAGTCTAGCCATCAGTTTCCATTTTGCCCCACCCAAGTAAGGTCATGCGAGACGGAAAACAAATTATTTCATTTGACACCCAGAAGACAGGAAGTAGAGCCTTCCAAGGCAGGAGCCTATTTCCTAAATTAGTTTAGGCTTCTTGATTCCAGAGAATTTCAGATGACCAATAAGAAGGGACTGATGACACACCTCCAGTCAGACTCTTCCAAAAACAACATTTATAAATTAACAGCCAGTGGGAAAACCCAAGTCTACAGAGCCTGTTGTTCTTGCTAGTTTTTCCTGTTGCCACCCACTGAGCACCCTTAAGGGAGGAATGGGCTGGTGAAGCCAAACACAGCTTCTTTCCATGTCCTCAGCCAGCCTAGCTCTTGTGCATGCTAATCTGCATCCACTCCCTCTCACTATGTCTCAACCCTCTGCCCAACAGTGATAAATTAGCCCTTGGGAAGCTCCTCTTTGGACTCAGAAAGTAGCATTCTATGCAGAAGCTTATCAGTGCCAACTCTGCCGTATCACATGCTATGTACAAGTAAACTTAACCTGGTGGGCGAATTAGCTTCTCTTTCTCGCCTGGTAAAAGGAACTGAGCCACGTGCTCTGTAGCAAAACTCCTTTTCCCCTCAAATCTTCAGCTATGTTTTCGTTACCCCTCACACACTCCTTTCCTTTGAATTCTGAGCTAGGATGTTGTATCCATGAAGGTGGATCCACCTCTGACCCCCACAAACTCCTGCAGTGTCTGGAGCAGAGAAGACACACAATATGGAGTGAATGGAGGAAAACCTCACTCACCCTGGCTTCTCTTTAATATTACTCTGTAACCGTAGTTACCATCAGAGAATAAATGACATTGGAGGGTGTGGGATGCTTGAACAGATATGCATTGTTTGTAAGACTGAAGACTGTGTATGTGTGCACATGTGGAGGCCAGAGGTTGACATAACGATGTTTTTCTTGATTGCTTTCCACCTTATTTTTGGAGATAGTTATCTCTCATTGAGCCTGCAGCTCACTCATTTGACTAGACTAGCTGGCCAGCAAGCTGCGGGGCTTCTCCTATCTCTGTCTCCATAGTATGAGGGTTGTAGGTGTGGTGCACGCTGTCATGCTCAAGTTGTTATGTGTATGCCAGGGATCAAAAAACCCAGGTCCTCATGCTCGCAAGGCAAGCACTCTACCTATTGAGCTATCACTAGTGCCCCAGAATCTGATGGAGGATTTTTTTTTTTTTGACAGACTTCAAAGAATTTTCTGGGGATGACTAGAATCCTGCACCTGTTCACATTACCCCTTCCCCTCACTCAGCAGCCTGATAACAGAAATTGAAAACACTGCTGAGTGAGTTCAACTTATATCAGAGTGCTATGGAGGCTTCCTGGCTTCTGAGTGATGGAGTAAAAAGAGCCCTACCTTGAATATTTACAAGCCAGTACATTCCTGCCAAACCACGAAGAAGCCAGAGTTCCACCCCTTGTGAGTTTGCAGCCAGGAAAGGAGAAAATCCACACCATACTAGGATAGCCAGTAGAAAACCTCACTTCCCTTTTTGGTTAGAATAATCCTCCACAGAATGAGCCCAGCCAACTGAAACCTCATTCTAAAAGAAACAATAGAGGAAGTACAGAGAGGGAAACAGAGGAGATAAGGAGCTCTGAACACCTTTCTACCAGAGTCCAACTGCACAAACCCAGTGTCATCCAATGCAGCCGCATGTACAGCCTTCCCCAGCTGTCACCCCACATACCCAACGAGCACTGGGATCTTCCCTAACAGACTGAAATCTAGAACTCTGCAGCTGACGAAGGTGCTCAGAAATACCCTCACACCACTGTGAGTTTGACCATGCTCCAGTGAATATATGGGCAACACAACATGGGTTTGGTATATATTTTTTTCTTTTCTTCTTTGTTTTTTTGTTCTGTGGAGGTCTGAAGGGTGGGAGGTTGGACCTGGGAGGACTGGCAAGTGATTGTGATCCTGGTGCATTATGTGAAATTCCCAAATAATCAATAAAAATATTATGTTTGAAAAAATAAAATCCTTCATATTTGTTTCCTTGGACCAAAAGAACAGAACAGTTTAAACAATTCTGGTTAAGGAATATGACTGGATATTATACAATCAGAAAATTGAGAATAAATCAGGTTTAAACATAGGACTTTAAGGCAGGGTTGTAAAAGGAATCTTTAGAACGGAGTGTACACTTTGCAGCCGAAACTTTAGTAGAATAGTCTTGCACATAGTGAAAAACCACAAGAATGAAACCATCAACACCAGAGATTCTTCCTGTAAGAGGTCTAAGGCATTGCTCAGTCATAAGGAATGAGAGAAAAGAGGCACCTCCCCGGGAAACTCTTCCAATATGGCAGTACTTATCCCAAGATAAGAGGTACAGAACTAAAGGTGGAGGCAATGTGAAGGAAAGTAGGAGTCAGTGCACACTGACCAGGGATGTAGACAGGCACAGGAGCCTGACTCCCCAAATGATATCACCCAGATCTAGGTGTCTAAGGATGGCAGGAAACAAACACTAGAGTGTGCATCACTCAGGAGGGTCATTGGCATTCTGTCAAAGAACAGCTATAGGAAAAACACAGCAATTCCCTTCTCCTTACTGGTGGCTGGGGTGCTCCTGATGAAGTAGGGATCATCCTGGTCTCCAGTTGAGTGTACAGTGGGAAGGTTGGTGTGAAAAACATAGCCATCTGAGGTGCTCTTTTCACTGGAGGATCCGCTGCTGACATCATCATCTATGGTACTTGTGGCATTGATGTCTTCTGGGTGTGTTCTGTACTCGCCCTTCTTGCTGTAGCGGGTACCATCACGGTTGACAATAGCTGAAGGACACAGAGAGGCACCTTCAGAACTTCACAGCTGATACATATTTTGAGTACCAGAAAGACAGTGGATTGTCGTAGGACACAACTTTGAAGCTATTTTCTTTTGCTTTAAAAACATCTGTCTAACTAGTGCTGAGATATAGTCGGTGAGATGCTCTGGAAATGGGGAAGAGAAAGTTGAGGTACTAGGGAGCCCCCACATTTGAATCTGAGCTTCAGATCTGTCTAGATAAGGTAACCCTGCAAGCTTCAGTTTCCCTGCTAGTAAAGGAATGAATGGCACTGCTTTCTGCATGAGGTCATAAGCAGCATGTGATACGCTGTGATATGCGTTTGGCATAGTAGTTAAAATACCTGGAGGCTCCATTGGTGACACCTCTCCCACACTATGCAATCCCTTCTGAAATATGTATATATTTTGTTATTATTAATTCCTCCAACTCCAGTAAGGATCTGAAATAGCAGTTGTAAGGCCTCCACAAAGAAGTTATATTTGCAATCCATTCGAAAGACTCTTTGTGGCCGGGTGTTGGTGGCGCATGCCTTTAATCCCAGCAGAGGCAGAGGCAGAGGCAGAGGCAGAGGCAGAGGCAGAGGCAGAGGCAGAGGCAGAGGCAGAGGCAGAGGCAGAGGCAGAGGCAGAGGCAGAGGCAGAGGAGAAAGAAAGAAAGAAAGAAAGAAAGAAAGAAAGAAAGAAGGAAAGACTCTTTGTAAGGGGTAACTTTTATCATTTTTAGCAAATACCTATTTCTGGGTAGAAAAAATGGTTTGTATAAGTATTGCCAGAGTTTCAACCATCCTCAGGGAAATTCAACACACACACACACACACACACACACACACACACACACACACACACACACATCAGAATCTTTGGTTTAATAAATGGTTGACCAGAATGAACCAGAGGAGAAAAGACAAAACTTAATTAATTCATTACCCATCCTTAAAATGTGTTTTCTGCCTTGAGCCTCAGCCATTTGCTATACACAGCTACTTATGTACACTTCACTGGGGATGTTTCCTGCTAAATTGCATGGGTGGTACCAAGGACTCTTGTTTCACTTATCTAGTTTGCTTAAATGAAACTACTAGTAAAACCAATGTTGGAAAACATTCCACGGTCCCAATCACATTGATAGTGTCTGCAGAGGAAGATCTGATGAGATTACTGACTACTAAGGGCTACGATCTTCTGATGAACTTCAAGCCAAGGCAATTTATATTACGTTACCATTAAAAAAAACTTCATTTATTTAATGTGTGTGTGTGCACACCTGTCTGAGTTTATGTGTACCATGTGTGTGCAGAAGCTCACAGAGGCCAGAAAAGGGTGTTTGATCTTCGTGAACTGGGGTTACAGGCAGTTGTGATATCCATGTTGGTGCTGGGAACTGAACCCAGGTTCTATGCAAAAAACAGTTAGTGCTCTTAACACTGAGCCAGCTTTCCAAGCCCCAGGCAATTTATAAAGAATGGAAGTTTATCTTGTTTATGGCCCTTGAGTCCTGGCTGAGAAGTTGGGATCTGCTGAGGGTCTTTTTTATGTATGCCATCATACAACAGAGAGCATCATGTGGTAAGACGACAATCGAGCCAGCTCAGGCCTCTCTTCCTTGTCTTATAAGGCCACTGATGTCATCAAGCCTCACCTTCTTTACTCCATCCGATCCTAACTACTTCTCAAAGATCTCAACCCCATTTACTACCAATGTGTGAAACTGGAAATTATGTTTCCAACGCATGAACTCTTGGGGCAGACATATTCAAACCATGGTATTGACCAAACTTACAGAAATCTGGAGTTTGGAGGAAATGCTCAAGATCCATGGAAATTGGGCATTTCTTAAAGCATCTTACAGGGGCCAGGCACGCATGAGACACATTAGAGTCACGTGATGATTCTAGCATGTTGTATCTTACACATAAGGGAGCCTGAAGTTTAGGAGGAAAAGTTGTGGCTCTAGTATCACATGGTAGCTGTTGGGATGTGAAGCATCCTCTGACTGCTACAGGACATAGGCCAAGTGAGAGGCTGGATTTACACAGTCTAGGGAGAGCTCATCACACTACTGCTGCCGCTGTGTCCACACACCCTGCTGGGGACTGACTCTAAGGAAGCAGAAATAAGTTTTCCATCTTCTAAATTGGTACATGCAATTTTTTATAGATGATCTAAGATGGGTGTGGTATAGATGACATTGAAGCACATACCAGGAAGCTTGTGGCCTTCATAATCATGTACTTCAGTTATATAGACAAGAAAATTCTCATGTGGGTGTCTCTATCCCTGAGACTACTTAAACCTCTATTTTACAGAGTGCAGCTCAGGTGCAATCTTTACAGCTAGAAAACTATTATTTACCTTGTCTTGCACTAAAATTGATTTTTTAAGGTTATCTTTAATTTCTGGCAAGTAGTATCAGTTTTCCCTTTGCAGTTTCTTTTAAAAAAATGAATTTTATTTGGAAGAGAATGATCAAGTAAGCGATGGTGCAGTGGAGTACACAGATGGGTTCCCAGTGTGTGAAAGCAGTTTTCAAATGACTGATATATCAGGAATGCGGCATAGGGGTAAATCAGAAGTTTTGCACCATCATGGAAAAGGAGAATGGGGTGTGGAAACACAGCCATTCTCCAATTAGAGAAACAACTTAATAGCCTATTTGAATAGTAACAGTAGAGAACACAACAGATGCCTTTGCCAAGAATGAGACAAATCACCCGAAACTAGAAGGGGTACGTACTTATGGTAACTGGTCCTTCGAAGGAATTGGGCAGGTCTGTGACAGATGTACAGTCTTCTTCAAGGGGTGCTAAGAGAAAGAACAACAACAACAAAAAAACATGAAATAAAATAAATGATTAAAAAACCCTCACAGTTAATGTGTCCTATTAATCAGTTAGAACAGAGTTTGGCTCTCATTTGTCCTAAATAACTTTCTTTTCTTGAAACTCGATAAGTCTATGAGAAACTTCTCTACCCTTTTTGGTGTGTTTTTACAATCTTAAATTCAGAAGTTCCAACAAACGTACTATTCCCACCCTAGCAACTTCGTTCGTTAAGAAGCACATGTATTCTAGGGCAAGTGTGCTGATATCTGTAATCCTGGAGCTGGGGAAAATAGATTGGGCTATACAAGGACAGAGGGAGGCAGACATTCTATATCTGGCATTGTGGTAAGTCTGATGTTTCATGTTTAATTGGGAATAAGATAGACATGGCTCTTCTCTAATTAAACATTATTAAATAGGCTTCTAAATTTCCTTTCAATTGCAAAACAAATGTGTAATCACTGTGAAAAAATTTATAATGAAGGCATGTACAGACTGTCATGAAAAATCATTTGCAATCCCAGATATCAACGTAGATGACGGGAAACTGGTGAACACACAATTGACATAAACATCAAAAGAATTTACTCAGTAATCAAAATATTTACTAAACAACAAATTCCCAGTCTTTTATTAAAGGATTAATGGCTTCATTTATTTGGCTGATATTTATGAACACTTCCTCCATGTGCAGGACTTCACAGCAGGCAACTAGGCTGGCCAACTTTGGCATGGGCACCCATACTGTCTTGGCATATATCATTTGGCTTCTTTTTTATTGTCTTCCATTTATCTTCTACTCTCACCCCTTCTTTAGGATTCCATGCTATGAGTTGGCCTAGCTGGTCACCTCCAGGTGTTTTTAGGAGCTTTCTGGCCAGTACTTTCTGACACCCTGACCTATAATTCCTGACTTGTGTGTTATTCCTTTTTCTGAGACACGGGCTGTTATTACTCTCATAATCCTCCTACCTAAACATCTTAAGTACCGGGGTTACAAGAGTGTTGCCATCATACCCAGCTGTATTACAGCTTTTATGGTGTGCATATCCACTTAAATATTAGAAGACAATTTCTTAGGTTTGTTTCTTCTAGAATTGCTTTCTGACCAAGAGAAAAGAAGAAAGAGATAGATGGGTGGGTAAATACGCACATATATGCATGGAGGTTTGGAGGGCCAGGGTCAGAAAACTGGCAGACAGCTGTCACAAGGAAGGCAGGTCTCAAGCATTTTAAAGTTCCCTTCCATAAACGGTTGCACACTCATAACACAGGCAGAAACAGAAATTGGGCAAACAGGTAGTGGCTGCTCATCAGTTACTATAAACACCTTTTGCCCAATATAAAGAGATTGTTTAGTATTCAATCAGTTCTTTGAAAGCAAAAGCTGCTGATGCTGTAGACATTCAAACAGGAGGAGAGTGAGTGTTAGGAAAAAGTATTCTTGCGAAAGTTGCTGTGAAAAAAAATTTAAAAATAGAGCCTTTTAAAGAAAAAGCCACCAATGGTGAGACCAGTATTGTACCCCTTTCTGACACATGTCACCCAGGCATATCACCTTCTAATTTCTTCCTCATGTGCACTACAATCTAAAATTGTTCACTTTACTTGATGGTGATTCATGCAACTCTCACACCACCCACCTGCTGCTTCCCACCATGCCATAGTGATACATGGGCTCTACCAAATCAGAGGAGTAAGTTCATCTGCTTGGGCCAGAACACTGTGTGACAACAGAGAGACACTTAGCATTTATTTGTCAAATGAGAGGAAAAGGAAGGAAAGATCTCAAGTCTCCCAGGAAGCACATCTAAGATGCTATCTCCTAAAATGGTTCACATGTATCAACAGCTCCAGAAGCCTAGAAAGTGATGCTCTCAGTAGTTTTAAAGAGTTAACTGAGTCTTTCTAAGGGCCACTCAGCATTCGCAGGCTAGGTCATAGAAGATAAAAGCAGACAAAAGATGAGCTTGCTTTTATCCCTGGCTCTAAAGAATTTACAAGTCGTCAAATATATTTCTCTAGCTCTTTATTCCTTAAAAATATTTTCCAACCCCCTTATTTGACAATGTAGATACTGGAGAGATTTGGGAGGTACCTATTCTCTTTGTCTCAGGACTGAGACAATCTATGAGTTGTTTCTGGTATTTGGATGTGGAACATCCCCCAGAAATGGGCTTGTGATTTTCCAGGAGTGAAGTTGTAATGAGCTGGGCATGTCAACAACACTGAAGCTAGTCAGTCAATAATGAGAGTGTGTTCCCAGGAGCCTCTTCATGCTCCATTTCACCTAAAATTTCATAGAGAAGCCAAATCTGGCCAGGATGCCAAGATGCATGGTGACCCACATATGCAGTTAACATATTCATGACCGTGTCCACTCATGTGACCTCATTAGATTGAGCTTCACTCTCTTATGCAATGTACTGCTGTGGATGTCCCTGAACACAGGGACTTGTTAAATACTAAATTGGTCTTCCCTGGGGCTGTATTCTGAGGAAGTTTGGCTCTACTGGCTCCAAAAGGCTAAGATAACAATAATTCAGTCTTGGTGTCAATCTCTGGATGCCAGGTAGAAAGGGCACTTCCTCCAGGGTAACTTGTAGGTGTTCCACGAGTAAATTGCCAAACATTTCTCAAAGAAATGAGTGAATGTAAATCACAAATGCAAAATATGCTCCTTAATTCTACCTGAAGAAAAGAATGAGACATCTTATAGAAATCAAACTTTAAAACTCATGTTGGGCCTAAGATGCTAAGAGATGTGGCAGAAAAAAAAAAAAAAGATCACAAAGCCTTTTCCTGAGGGCTGCCTTAATTTTCCCTGGGAAGTCACAGAAATATGGGTTTTAAGCTTATAAAAGTTATCTGCTGTAGTATTTCTGGCTCTTCTCTCTGTTGCTAGTTTACGGGGCTCCCTCCCCCTGGGACCTCCTGGTTGCAGTCCCTGGGCTAGGTATAATCTAAGATTCTTCCAAAGACATTCTTGGAAGCAAGGTGGAAGCTGCCAGGTTCTTCACTTCATGTGCCAGGATATGGAAATTGCTTATCCCGCATTGCATTTATTCTTGTCTCTCCTTTCTGTATTTTCTGTCTTATTGCTTCTAGAAGATTGTTAATTCTTTGAAGACAAGAAACACGCTTTCTGGTTCTTTCTTACCCTCAATTTACTTAACACAATAGTGTGCAGATACTACTAATCAATAAATATTGTCTTTGAAATTATTATAAAAGCTTATCAACATGGAGTCCACATAGAAAATAGAAAAAAATGAAAAACAGTTATTACTTTTCAACTTTACTACTTTTAACACGGTCATTTGGGGATGAAGCAGATCTCTAGTACTTCTCCCGGTTTTCAACAGAATTAACACCTGCGTCTGTAAGGAGAAGAGAGTTGGTTCATCAACATTGTTGACTGCTGTGCTGGGGATGGACTCAAACTCTGGGACAACATGAAGGAAAGGAAGAAAAGCTGCAGCAGCTGTTTGCCTTGATCGCTTGCTTCAATTCCTGGCCATAAAACAGTATGTGCTTTTGCCTGTTTCAATTAAACTTCTCAGCACCTTAACTCAAAGTGACACCAACTTGTAAACCAGCTGAGACAGTGTGGGAACACAGCAATGTGATTTACTGCATACATTCCCTGAACAAGACTCAGCAGGAGAAGCAAAAAAAACAGAACCCAAAGACTGAACAGCTGGCAGGATCACACCAAGCTGAGTCTTTGCCACCTGTTCAAGCCCTTCATTCCTGACCCCTTGTACAAAGATGGAAGAAGTTAACTCAGGGTGCTCTGTGCCTACTTCCTGTTTATCCATCTGAGCTTTGCTTCATTACATTGAGTACGGGCAGTGCCCTGTATGGTTTTGGGTGGACTTCCCCATTTTGATTGAACTCCTTGTGTGTTTTTTATTCATATGATAGGGAGAGGCAAACTTGCTGTGATTTTTCTCCTTGTCCTATGTGTGTGTGTGTGTGTGTGTGTGTGTGTGTGTGTGTGTGTTCTCCAGGTCCTGTGCATACTTGGAATAATTCACTGGGTTCATATACTGTATTTCAACTACTTGGCTTCAACATATCCTCTTTCCCCCAAACTCTAGATTTCTCCTCTGAATTCCCACTCTAACCCTCAGTGCTTGTGAAATAATGGGTAGGTAGCACTGGCACAGTCAAAGGACACTGATGTAGTCTCCTGCTGCCCTTGATGCCCCCTGTTACCAAAAGCCCACATAGCTGGTATATCCTACCACCATATTATACTAGCTCTGGTTTCTTGGGAATAAAGTCTTTAGCCACATTCCAGCCTATTTTGCATCTTCCTTCCATGTTTAAGAAAATTTACAGTCTTGGAAGATGTGACAAGTTCTCCTCAAAGCCTTTTCTTTCCTGCCATATAGTTTCAACCCTTCAGGGGAATAGAAGATACAGTTTGAGAACTATGACTTTTGATTGTTGGCATTTAAAACTTTGACATTTATGGTTCTTCTCAAAAGACTCTGAAAATGTATAGTGCATTGAATTCTTTGTGGTGGCATGAATAGACTTGTAAGCATGATTTTTAAGCTCATAGTTGGGAAAGGCTTCACAGACCAAGGAGGGAGCCCAGCATCTCTATCTTAGCCTTCTTATTCCTGGTGGTCTCAACCATTGGGTAAGGGGCATTTTCAAGAAGGTCAATGGTCTATCATATCCTCCTTGCCTTTTCACTAGCTCCATTTACAATAATACTCTCAGCTATTTGGTTTGCACCCCCAAACTGTCAGTAGATGGGTACCACTTTCCTTTAGAAACTGCGTCAATTTCCCAACACACTGAAGGCTCTAGCAACTCCTCCTCTAAACCTCTTTAACTTCTTTGCCTGTAGTCCTGTCCTTGACAAATACATAGAATTCAGGTGTTCCTGTTCCAGCTTCACATGGCCTTCTCATCTGTCAAGAGCCCCACTCCTTTTCTTTGATTGTGGGTCTCCTAAACACTTCCTCAGATATACCCTTCCTGTTCACCTCTCAAATGAACATCATCCCTGGAGCTTGTACCTTCCTATGGTGCTTACTTCTTTAGCACTCTCCAACCTCGTGTAAGAGAATTGATATTTAATTGTTCATCATCTGCTTCCCAATCCTGACACGTTAGTACCACGAATACAGGAATCTGGGTCTTCCCTTCTACTGTAGAGACTCTCAGGACTCATCTTGAGTGGAAGCTTCAGGAAGCTCCACCCAGGCTTTTACTGAACTACTGTCAGCCAACCATGCTCCCACAAGCAACCCAAAGAGCATGCACTTAGAACCAACCTGAGGCATTGAAGCAATATGTGTCGTAGTGGGAGGCATTGGATGTGAGGACATACACCCCAGTGTGATTGGCGGCACAGATGGCATTGGGGTGGATCCTCGGGATCACTACCTGGCCTTCTATGAATCCATACCTGCCAAGGAAAAAACACAAATTTATTAACCTATATGACCAGGACATCTTTACATAATTTCCCATCAAATGACATTTAATGCATCACAACACTTCACTTTTTCACCCCTAGGGATATTAGGGGTTCCAGCAACTGAGCTCCATAAAATCTAAAAATACCAGTGCAGGAGAAATTTCAAAGCTGACAGAGGCAAAGAGATTTTGTTTAAAGACCAGGAGCTGACGATCTTTCTTGTTTTTAAACACAAAGATTCATGAATGGAAAAAAATATGTTCCATATAAAATTTATGGCCAGCAATGTTATTAAAGGCAACAGAAAGCCAGAATTACAGAAGAAATAAGCTGTACAGATTTGACACTGAATTAACATTTTATTTTCCAAAAAATGACATAAAAATAATAGCAAGAGGATTAGCCTTCCTTTTAGTCTAAGATTACAGGTCTGACTCATTTCTTATCCTCCTCTTCTTTCTTGTCCTCCCCTCCCCCCTTGAGTGCCCCACTCCTTACTCCCCTATTGCCAACACAAAGCCTTGCACCTGTGCTGAGTACACAGCATGTCTGACTTTGTGAGCAATCCAGACCAGTGGAGATAAATTGGCCATCATTGAACTGAGGACAACAGCAATTAGGGAAGTAGAAGCAATGGCCTACTTAACAAAGTTCTTCAAGCAACACACCATCACTCCTGCACCCATCTAGGTGTTTATTTCTGGGAGTTTATTGGGTCTGGAGGCCTTTTCAGATATAGTACACATCACCTCCATCCTAGTGGCCATCTGACATAAGCACAAAATGCCCTAAAACATGGCATGTGGGATGAGAAAATGCTACTACTCAAAAGGAAAGAGGTGATGTGCCAGCAAGAGAATAAAGAGTGAGATCCTAAGTTCCACAGGGTTTGAGCAGTACAATGCAGGCTAAAATGCATCTTTTTAAGAATCTCCCTTGAGGGGGCAACAGCACAGACTGCAGCACCCTGCAAGACCTGTGGCAATGAGAGTGGCTTGGAAGCTCCTAAGCTCCAAGTCTCTCATTATGTTGGTGTTGCAATGGAAGCTGGATGACTAATTCCCCAAAGTCTCCTTTAGCTGTTGGGGGGAAGGCAGACAATTAACTGGTAAGAAGTTCTCATGGACCTGAGAGTTGTCACTAATCAGGGTGGGGCAGACAAGGCAGAAGTCCCTGCTGAGCCTTTGGCCTAGCCTGTGAGACTATGCCTTCTGTCTTTTGGCAGATATCTGATGCCATAGCTACCTGAGGGAAATTATGAAAGTGAGTTTTGAAACACTTAATACCAGTTATGGCTGCAATGACAGATTTCTGCAGCAGAGGTTTTTCTTCATATTTTTTCTAAATAATACTCGACAGTGAAACTAATCTTCACTCTGTCCTCCTGCATCATGTTGATAAATGTGTGTGTGTATGTGTGTGTGTGTGTGTGTGTGTGTGTGTGTATTAGACATTCTAGAACTGAATACATTCTTGCATTCTCTTCGTGAGTTATTGTGAATTTTCACTACATCATGTTACTTGACAATTTAATATACACATATTACACATGAGTTGGGGACATTAAAATTTCTGTAGGTGAACATGGCATGAATGAGTCACTTTCTACAAGGAGAAAAGACATATTTATCAAGTCCTTGCATCCTCCCCCTTACTCAGTCCCTTGTGAGGGCTTGGTCATTACATTCATACTGATCACAACCAAACTGAGACTCCTCTATATGCAAGCAGTGTGATCTATGACAAACTGTAAGGCTCTGTTGCTTCATCTAGAAAAAGTCAGTAATAAACTGGACCATTTAAAGATTAAGATCAAGGATGTCTTTAGGATGCACCCAGCAGCTTGGCACTCTGTATCTGTTTCTCTGGCTCTCAACAGATGACAAACCTCTGTATTTCACAAGTACATCTTAACTGCATTTCACAATCATAGGCCAGCTTCCCAAAAGCACTTTGTTAGCCCAGTGACCTAGTCAGGGTCTGATTTTTTTTAAAACATAGCCTTGGGTCTTGAGTAAATGGTTTTGCTAACTGGCCATCCTTCATGAAGATAGTGGGTCAGGTTCTGCTGTCAGAGTCATCACCCATCCTTTAGCATTCTCCCAGACTTAGCTCTGAACACTAAGAGACAGAGATGTCCAGCTGGTACTACTCAAGACAACATTCTTAAACAATGAAAATATTCTCTATAGAATCTATGCCATTTGATAAGGCAGCTATCAGGTGAAACGTAGTTTGTGCCATCAACTCATTTTCATGTAGCCTAATTGTAATGAACTTAAATGTAACTCACTGCATGTGGCTAATGGTTACTATATTAGACAAAGCAAGAATCTCAGGGAATCACTCAAGAGGTTGGTTCCTGAGTCTGTAACTAAGGGCAGGGGATAGATGCAATTAACTTCCATTTAATAGCTTCCATGAAGAGGGCTGCAGCTGGACTTTCAAAAAGCATTTTGTTTGCATGTGTGTGCACGTGTGTGAGCCCTGGAGAGGGAAGGGAATCACACTGCCTAAGCTGGAAGCTGAGGTGGGGATTCGGAGCAGGTGTGAAGACTACCCAGATCTGCAAGTGAAATCAAACCACACCAACCACGTGACTGGGGGTGTCACTAAGCATCCCATTCATACATGCTACTGGCCACAAAAACAAACAAGAAAGCAAGAGGCAGGATACACCCTGCCTCTTGTGATTATCATGGATTCGAGGTCCTCTGGGGCCTCAGGTAGAAGACTTCTCAAGGCTTCTGATAGCAACTTACTTTAAGGTAATATAGCCTTAAAAAGTCCATATCCTTTGACTTACTTTGTCAAACGACAGCAACATAGAAGACAACTTAAAAGCTGAGAGAGGGGGCGGGGGATTTGGAGAACGTGCTTTGCATCAAGTCTGTACAGCTAAGACTCTGCCAGCTGCCTATTTATTTTAAACACTGTTATTTGGTTCATGTTTTCTTGTGGTTCCGACAATGATACTGAATGTTTCTTCAAAGCCAGATGAGTGTTATGGGAGCACATTAGCAAGAGGGTTGAAACTGATATGACCCCTTTGGCTTCCCCTGATTCCCCCCTCCCCCCCCCCCGACATGTGCATGATTCACAAAGGTGTCTTTAGCTGACTTTAAATTTTAGTTGTCATACCGGTTTCAGAAGGTTGACTTAGTCAAATTAATAGGTAGTGCTGCCTTTTAAGGCAAGAACCCATTCAACTGCCAAGGAGGAGCCTTCCACTGTAAGCTCTGACCCTTCCCAGTGGGCTTTCCCCAGTGAGGGTGCTGGTCTCTTACCTGCATGTTTCAAAGCCCTTGTGCAGGGCCTTCTGCATCTGTTCCATGGTGGGCAGGGTGCTGTTGAAAGCTTGGCAGAGGTCAGCTGCCTCAGTCCGTGAGATGCTGTAGCGGCCATTTTTCTCCACATGGAATACACCTGCATAGCGGCAGGTTATGTTCAAATCTGTGGGATCAAATGGAAATGTTAGAGTCTTTTGCATGAATAATTTGCGGAAAACTAGATCAGTGGTAAGAAGTGCTTATAAGTGAAGACATTAAAAGAAACAGGAAGAAAGAAAAAAAGCCAAACAGAAGGTTGTGGTGATGGCTCAGTCAGTAAAGTGCTTGCTTTGCAAGCATTAGAACCTGAGTTTTATCCCCCCAAACCCACATACAAAAAGCTGGATATTGTGGTCAGCATTTATAATACTAGGACAGGCAGATCCCTTGGGCTCAGTGCCCAGCCAGCTTAGCCTTCTTGGTGAGTTCCAGGCCAATGAGAGACCTTGTGTTTAAAAACAAGGTGGGTGATAGCTGAGGAATGACAGCCAATGTTTTCTTTTTGCCTCAACGCGCATGTGCACATGTGTGAACACACATATAAATGTGAACCTATACACACACACATGCATACTCCTGAAAGGCAAATAATTGCATATGCTATCTTACCCTTGAAATCCCAGCACTTGGGAGGTTGAGGCAGGAGAATCACCTAGGTTCAAGGCCAGTCTGGGCTACATGGTGAGTCACAGGTCAACCACAGCCACTGTGAAAGACCTTATCTCAACAATATCAACAAAAATCCAAATAAACATCTCTACTGATGTAGCCTTCAAAATTCACTCGCTTTCCAAAGATACATCAAGCTTAAATCTGAGACATGACATCATAAAGGAGCCCTATCCTTAAAGTAACGACACCAACAAAGATTTTTTTATTCTTTCTTTTTATATTAGTTCAAATTAGGAACAAGCTTGTTTTACATGCCAATCCTTTCTTCCTCTCCCTCCATTCTCCCTCCCCCCTGACCCCCCCCACCCTTAAGCTTACTCTTTAAATTAATATAAACTCATGAGACACTTACCAAATCCAGGGGAGTAATGAAGGAAGATGTCAACTACTAAGAAAACACACACACACACACACACACACACAGAGAGAGAGAGAGAGAGAGAGAGAGAGAGAGAGAGAGAGAGACACACCAATAGTATTACATATGCAGTTCTGTATTTGGGACCCCGCTCCTCGCTTATTCTTATATTATGAGCATGTTTCCACAATCAATTGGTGTTGCTCCTGACCGTATCATTTCTAACACTGTATATGCAGCTGCACACAGAATAAACTTCCTCCTGGTCAAGACCAATGTGATCAGGCTGCAGACTCCCTCCCTCTCCAGCCTGGGAATTGCTATATCTGCTCCAGTCACAAAGTTTTCCCATCAGGCACTCTTAGCTCCTGCAGACCTGAAAACACACATCTGCTTTCTTTTCTATACGGAATGCCCTGTCCTTATAGTCACATGGATGGTCCCCTTGTCTTCTGAATTGTCACTCCATAACATTTTCTCTCAGCAATGCCTGAGGTACCAGGCGAAGAGATACAAACCAGGTCTGGAGGCAGAAAGAAGTGACTTCAACCTAGACCCTGAACCATCCAAAGTTCAAGTCATCTAGCAACAAGAAAACTGAAGCTGGACAAAGGATTGCTGAAGAGGTGATGGGACCAATTCTCTCTAGAACCACAGGTTCCTCCCAAACCCGACTTTATTCTACATTTCAAAGTGGGCTGTACTGGGGGAGGATGACTTTCCCCCCTGAATTGTCCTTTGGTATCTTGAACTTTGGAGTTCTGTGTTGCATAACTGCCACCAGTACCCTAAAATCTTTGCATATGTATTTAAAAGTCAAAAAACAGAAGCTAGGAAAAGAATGAAGCAGCTTCCACCAGAAGGCAGCTTTTAGATGGCTGAGGTAGGAACTCCTCTCAGATGTGTTGAATTCCCTCAAACCGGGTTTCCAAGCAGCATTCCATCTGCTCAGGGCCCTTCATGCTTAGGACAGGGGAGAGGCACAACTAAACAAATGTTTCACAATGATGAAATAGGGCCCATTATTATTATGAGTTATGGTTACTACAGGTGACAGCTGCCTTCTTCTAGAGCAGGAAGCTGGTTCCAAACACGAGAAAGCAGTGTCAGACAGAAGCAAAACGAAAAAACCAAAAGTCACCCAGAAGGCATAAGCCAATGCAAGTTGGTTTCTTTTCCTTGGTTTGTGTCATCAGCAAGCAGGTACTTTAAAAACGAAAAACCATGAAACACTGGAAGCAATGAAGAAAAGACGCCTTGTGTGGTTAATTCCTTATCTGCAGGGCCCAGTGTTCTCCGAAGTCACTCGTGTAGTTCTTGGCTGATGAAGCAATGAGCACACACAGGAAGGAAATGCAGAAGGGCCCTTTGAAATGCTGTTTATTTTTACTGACATTTGCAGCTTAGGTCTCAGTTGGCCAGTTTCACAAAGGGACCCTGTCACTCAGAGAGAGGACAGCCCTTCCAGGCCTCTCACTGCTCCAGCATCCAGAAGGAAAGAAAAGTGACTCAAAATGAGCTTCTTGCAGGTGAAGCTCCTGGGGACTTCAGTCAAATGCAATCTGACCCGCAGGCTCCTGGCCCAGGTGGTTGCTGTTAACTCCTGGCTTAAAAATAAAGGCTGAGGCTTGGACAATGGTTTGGAGATGAGAGGCAGTTTCTTTCTTATGAAAATCAATTCCAGCTTGCCACCTGGCCAATGGAATATGCAAATGAAAGAGAAACCAATGCAAGCTGAGACTTTTGAGTAAAATCCCTTGAGTTCCATGAGCAGTAAGCAACATTACTTAAAAGACAGTGTCTACACATGGTGGTTATTCAGAAAGTGTGCCTGAGATTGACTCTGTGTGTGTGTGTGTGTGTGTGTGTGTGTGTGTGTGTGTGGTCCATTATGGGCAATACAAGACAGAGAAGCTTAGCCTTCATCTTGCTAGCTTAGCCAGGGGCCTGACATACTACAGACATCTGAAAGGGTTGCTGGGTGAATAAGAAATTTTCAGAAAATATGAAGTGCAAGTTTCCATTTCTTTTAATCTTGTGAGAAAGAATCCAGCTCCTAACCCCAGTGATATCTGGACAGTTAAGAATTGCAGCGATGATGCCCCAGGCTTCCAGTACAACTGTCACATGAGTCGTTGATCATACCTTAGCTGTGGAATACTCTGGCCTTAAAATGGGCTCGAACCCTGGCAATTTATAAGGAACTCTCTTCTTTATATTTATGTAAGCCCTGTTTTTTTTTTTTTACCCCAAATGGTATTAACAATCCCAAGGGCAATAACAGTAGTGAGTACTTCTTTGAGTGCCAGACACTCTTACAAGCACTTCACAAGTGTTAACAAATCTTCTCCTTAAAACAACTCTAAGTGGTGATATTAATCACCACTCTCTAGAGAAACTGAGGCATGGCAAGGAGGAAGTATAGAAACATACTCGAGGTCACAGAGCTGCAGTGGTGGAGAGATATTCAAATCCACCTGGACTGGGCTTCTAGGACCCACAAGTTTCACCTCTATCTTCTACTCCTAACCCCAAAGTAGGCAACACTTCTGGCTTCCTTATCCCACCAATGCATAGCCAACACCATTCCCAGGTATCATGAGAGCAAGGGTGAGATGGAAGTAGCAAGCACCACAGAGCATCTCTAGCAGAGAACAGGTATCCATGGCAGTGGGGAAGAGCTTCAGTATATCTATCTGCAGTTGGTCCTTCAGAAACAAAAGCATCTGGATGTGGGAGCTGCTCTGACTTCCTAGGGCTTAGGGGATAATTCAGCCCATAAAAAACAAGCATAAGGTCGGTAAGAAAGCTGGCTGAGTGGTACACTCTTGGAATCCAGAGCTGAGGAAACAGACACAGGCTGATACCCAGGCCTTCCTGGCCAGCTAGCCTAGCTTTCATGGTGAGTACCAGGTCAGGTAGAGGCACTGTCTCAACGAAAATAAAAGGTAAGCAGAACAACTTCTGAGGAATGAGAGATATGTTGTCTTCTGGCTTCCACATATGTGCAAACACCTAAACACCTACACATCTGCACCCACATGCATTCAGGCACATGTATGGGAACACATGCCATGCATGTGCACATAAAGAAGCTAATATTAAATCACAATGGCCCCTCTCCAACAAATCCTTCCTTATGAAGATCCACTAAGAATGCTTTCTGCTGAGCTCTCTGGTCTCCAATAAGTCTCCTGTATCTTGCAATGACTTGAACTGTTTTGAAGTCCCTCCCTTTGAGAGACAGATGGGCTCAGTGAAAGATGTAGACTGAGGCTACTTTCTGATTCCAAGAGAAGCCTCCAAGGAGTCATGCCATGCCTTTAGAGTTCTCAGGCAGGTTGTGAGCAGGGCAGGGGCATCCCTAGGCCCATCATCTAACAGTCTGGTCTGCCTGTCCCCAGGAAGACCAGGAAAAGGAGACCACATGAGTGTCTCCATGGGTACATGGGAAGGGCAATAGCTTAGCCTTCTGATCTCCCCTGACTCTGCAGCTCTTTGCAGGTGGCACAGCTAGGTAGCTGCTTGACCTCTCTGATGTTCAGCCTTGTTGAAGCAGAGTCTGTGGGACTCATTAAATGAAATTTGGTTAAAATGGAGCTTATAATAATAAAGTTGTGAATATTGCTCACTTGTTAACTGCCTTTAGAAACTTCGCCAATACACTGGCAAAGTTATTTTAAATTTTTTATTGTTTTGAAATTAAAACATAATTATATAATTTCCCCTCACATCTTTCCAGACTCTCCCATACCATCCTTGATCCTTCTCAAGCCCTTTAAACTCTCTCTCTCTCTCTCTCTCTCTCTCTCTCTCTCTCTCTACATATATACACATACGTGTGTGCACATATCCTGTTCAATCTATTTAATATTCATTTAACATTACTTGTATGTATATGATTTCAGGGCTGGCCACTTAATATTAGATAAACAATTTACAGGGCTCATCCCTGGGAAAAAATAA